GTCGCATGTCCTCCATTTTCTTATTTTTTGCGTGTCTACATGGAACTTTGAGCGGTCAACATTTAATCACGTACATATCAATGCATACCATACATTTCGCAAGGGAGGGGTGGCCGCCCCCGAAGTTGACCATGTATGCACGCTCCTAAAAGTATGCCATATCCCTAAGAAAAAACAGCGCCAATATGACCATTTCAGCACGCGCGTATCTATGCTCTCCACGTACCCGACTATTTTACGGTTTGCTGAGGCTTGAGGCATAAAAAGATCAGGGCTTCACCAAGCGGTAGAGTGCGTTAGATAAGTCCAAGACAAACGGGGCGTGTTTCAGCGGTAGTGGAAAAAAAAACGCCCTCGGACGCCGCGCCGTCTCACCGTCCCGTCCCCTGCCGTGGCGGACGCCGCGGCTGGGTCTGGCGTCCTCCGCGCCGCTCCGCTCAACGCGAATAGGTTCTGTGGCCGCCGCCGCCGTCGGCTGGCAGGCCGCTACGCCCTGCAACACTGCACCTGGCCGGCTGCCGATAATCGACTTTCAGACTGGCACTCACACGGGTGTGACTTCTGATATCACACACACATACACTGTGATTACATGCACGAGCACACACACACGCTCGCACTCGCACTCGTGCCCGCACTCATATCGCAACCGCACCCGCACCCACATCCGTATCCGCACCCGCACCCGTACCAGCACGAGCACGAAGGTACGCACATACACACACACACACACACACACACACACACACACACACACACACACACACACACACACACACACACACACACACACACACACACACACACACACACACACACACACACACACACACACACACACACACACACACACACACACACACACACACACACACACACACACACACACACACACACACACACACACACACACACACACACACACACACACACACACACACACACACACACGTACACGCATACGCGCACGCACGCACATGCACGCACTCACGCACGTACGTACGCATGCACGCACGCACGCTCGTTGTGTAAAATCAGCGTCGAGCAGCTTCAGCAGCGGCAGGAAACTGTGTGACGGCCGCTGTAAGTAATATCGTTGCGTATTTCTGTCCATGTTTTCTCGTCTATGCTGTGCATGTGTTTTACTTCATATTTGCTGCTAACCGTTTGCTTTGCACTGACGTTGACTGCAAGATGTTGTCGTGATTGGCTTCGCGAATGATGAAGTTCAATGTATAATTAAGTGGTAATAACCATGAGCACTAAGATCTTGGACTGTTGGCTTTTTCCCACGGATTTTTGCCTGGTATCAGCTGGCCCTGTTGCCGCCTCTGCCGGAGTCCCTGACGAACCAACTGTGGTCAGGACTCCGGCCGAGGCGCGCCAACTGTGGTCAGGACTCCGGCCGAGACGCGCCAACTGTGGTCGGGGTCTCCGGCCGGGACGCGCCAACTTTGGTCAGGACTCCGGCCAAGACGCGCCAGCTGTGGTCAGGGACTCGGGCAGGGACGCGCCAACTTTGGTCAGGACTCCGGCCAAGACGCGCCAGCTGTGGTCAGGGACTCGGGCCGGGACGAGCCACCTGTGGCCTGTGCTATTTGCTCCCGCTGAATTTCCAGTGGAAAGTCGTGCTGAACAGACTGCGGCTTCGACCTGTGCCAGGTGCCCGTGTCGGAAGTCTCTATCGAAGGCTCCGTTGCGCCAACCGTATGCCCGGTCGGCTCCAGCTGCACTTGCTGCAGTCTGTAAGGGTGTCGTGCAAGATGAAGCTTTGGCCTGTGTTAGCCGTCCCTGCCGCAGCCCTGTGCAAATGCCGTACCGACTGTAGCCTGAATCAGTGTCATCTGTCCCTGCTGCAGTCTCTGTCCGCGCCCCTGACGCTCGCCGTCGGCCGCTCGGATGGGACCGACTCGCCCCGACCACACCCGGCAGCGCCGGCGGCCGCATCAGGCTGCGCCGCGCGGCACAGCGGCGGACGAGAACCGTCCGGGACGGGCCATCTAGGGCCGGTCGTGCCCGGCCGCTCCAGGCTTTTGTGCCGGCTGAGGTCGGATGACGGTGGTGCGGTGTTCCCGCGCTTCCTGTTGTTCCGTGTGACGAGAGGAGGTGGCAAGGACAAACAGTGAGAGCATTTGGGAGAGGACGGGATTCGGAACAAATCTACGAGACGAGACGCAGAAAGATGTGGCGATGGCACCAACGAGTCCCGTCTGCCCACGGTGATCGCACCGTGCCGTGACCGCTACGCACATGGAACGAAATTGTTAACTCAAGTGCTCGCTAATATCCAAGAAAAAGTTCCATCGGTTGCTTCTGAGCTGAAGCGAGCCGCCCCGCGCATAGCGAGCATAGCGAGCCCCCACCCCCACCTGCATAGCGAGCGTTCACCCCAACCTGCATAGCGAGCCGCCACCCTCCCCCCCCCCCGAACCGTTTCGGCTGAAGTTCTGCGTTTTCTTCTGCGTTGCTATCACTCTGGAAGCGGAAATCATCTCTCCGAATTCCCATCTGGTGCTGATTCCTATTCGCCGGCGCGGAGGCTGGAGCCGGAGCGGTGGCTGGAGCCGGAGCGGTGGCTGGAGCCGGAGCGGTGGCGCCTGTCATCTGGCCCCTCGGCCGGCGTTCTGCGCGGCGGGACTCAGTCCTTCGCTGTGTTTCTCATCGGATTCGGCTCAGTCGACTCGCATCTCCTTTATTTGGGACAGCACTGGACCAGTGAGAAACAACAAGAGACGCTCAATTACTGAGCCACGAATAGCGACAAGTACCTTCACGACGCAGCACGGTGCAGTGGGCATGTGCGAGTCGGCAGCTTACGCGATGCAGCGTATTAGTTGGACAACAACTTATAAAATGGAAAAAAACAAAACTGGCGTACTGCATTTTATGCGCGGATGAGGAGAAGATTGATAGCAAAGCCTGCGAGCCGTACAAAAACAATGCCGTCAAGAGCAAGGCCAGCATGTTTTGCCTGCAGATTAAGTCTAAAGATACATTTAAATTGAACAAACAATCCAGGTCAAATCCATCAAAAGGCGATAAAGTGGAAAGGACGTACACATTACAGCTGGTGGAAGTAAGCATAAAACCAGACAATCGACAGGCAGCCGCTCGTTAAGCACATCGTATACCGCCGTTGGCGAACAGGACACTCCGAACCAAGCACTGCCCGAGCCAGTTGTCGTGTCGCACAGTGGGCTGCAGGTACGTCCTGCTAGCGCAGCTTTCCCGCGGGGTTTTGTCTTCTCCCACATGTTAACATTTTTTCAGGGTACTGCGCCACAAACTGAAAACCAATAATCCGTCACACGAGCACGCTCAACAGTGGTACCCCTCGTGTACTTCTTGTTCTTAGACTGCATTATTTGCAAACTTGTCATGTAGATACTGACACGTGAGATAAACAAAGAGACAGCATTAGTTGATCGCCTCGGCTCGAACCATCTCGTCGGCCCTCGACAGTCCGTCTGGAAACGCTGCGAGCTATCGGCTCCGCATCTCAGAACGCTAAGCCAGGATTGGAAGCTGCGGAGAATTACATAGCTCCAGTCCCTCACAGATTGCGTCTTGCCTGGCTGGCGTATAAGCTGCTGACAAGGTGCATGCGTCGATGAGACAGAAGCAATAACTTGCGCTGGCTGCATCGTGATCGCATGATCAGTTACAGGCGCGGAGTCAAATCCCGCATTGTGAGATGGTGCGAGCGTGAGCAGATTTGTGTTCGACTCGACTCGACTGTGAGCCGGCTCAGGGCCAGCTCACAGATTTGGGTCGGCCTTGAGCCGACCCAAATAGCATGCTTACAGCAGTTCAAGTAGTAAATGAGAGGCTAGTTATAGACTAGTTCACTGTTGTGCCAATTGACAATTAAAGATATAATCATTCCTTGGACTTCATAGGTAGCAGACAAGCTTTCACTAACTTCAGCACAGGATATAGGAATATAGAATGTCTGTGTCATGCAATATCCTGCGGTTCTTGGCTGAAATTCGGCATACTTTAGATCAGGAGGAACAATACTGTGATTACTGCTTAGAAATTACAATTACAAAACTTGCACTGATTTTGCATGTTCATGCCGTTCATTCTAACACTGCTGCGGCGTGTTTTGCATCCTCATGTTACCATTTATATATGACCCATATACCTCACTGACACGACATCGCTGGAAATGAACGGCTCACGACCCAGCTCACAAAATTTACTAATAAATTTACTATTAATTTACTATTATTTTATTATCAAAACAATTTACTAAGAACGTGATTCAGCTCATGGCTCGAAAAGGCGTGTTTTCTACCGAACCGACGTAGCTCGTGGCTCTCACACCAAAACGATAGCCTCGTGAGTCAATGCATGATTCAGCTCGAGTCGAACACGGGTGTGAACGTGACGCCGGTCACTAACATCAGAATGTGCACTGTGAACAGGGCCCGGCGACTGACCGACCTTATGTGGTGCTAGACGCACGCCATGCGTCGCCGTCACCCCTCGTTGGGGTCTCCAGTTTCGTAGTTTTCAATCTTAGTTCAGAATTTTTGAAGAGCTTCCAGACGCTGAGAGAGAGACCCCGTTGGCAGACATCAAGAAGGTCCGAAGGATAAAACTGATGCGGACCTGCTCTCGTTGGAGCACTACGGTGAAGCCGCTTTAACGTACCCTGCCATTCATGGACTTCCCATGCCGGCTTCAGCATGTTTCGAGCGCACGTTTTGGGCCGGCAATCACAGGTTTGCTCTTCCTCACAAGATCCACTAACTACAACGCACCACGCAGTGCAGACGACTTCAAAAGGCTAGTACTCCTCTCTGCCGTCTACAAGCCTGTAAAAGGCTGCCGAACCCCACCATAACCTCCATTTATTCCCTCCGCTCAACGCTCCCCTCTTTCTCCCTCCGCCAAGGCGCTCCCCTCTTTCTCCCTCCACCAAGGCGTGTCCTAGCAGGCGAACCCGTCAGCACTGTCGACAACACCCGCTCTCCCCCCCCCCCCCCCCTACAGAGCGCTAGAAGGCGGCCCTGCCGGCGGTAGCCTCCTCCATCAGCCGCTTGTTGCACTCGTAGATGGTGTGCATTACGTGACTGCGAACGGCGCCTACAGAGCGCTAGAAGGCGGCCCTGCCGGCGGTGGCCTCCTCCATCAGGCGTTTGTTGCACTCGTAGATGGTGTGCATGACGTGACTGCGCACGGCGCCGTAGTCCACCTCGGCCCGCTTGGCGGCCACGAACTCCAGCAGCGAGTAGTTGTTCTGCTCGATCGAGGCCAGCCGACGCTCCAGGATGCCCAGCTGGATGTACGGGTCCATCGACTCCAGCTCCCCCTGGCGGGCACGCAGACGCGCGACGTCACCACACTGACACACAGCACGTGAGGTGATCACATGGCTCTGCAGGAGGTCTCACGGCACTGGTGAGGGAGGATGGGGCTTTCCAAGGACGTGGAATTCAGCAAGCCCCCAATAGTTATGGTGATAAAAACTGGGCCCAGTAAACAGCGTTGCGCGATACAAATTAACGTCACCCCTCTACGTTCGCCCTACTCCCTTCCGACATTTTCAATAATAATTGGGATTGAGGAATGAAGGTAATCAGACGCGTGCAATTCCTGCATGCCAGGCATTTAAGACAGATCGAAAGAAATAAGGCTTCGGCCTTGGGCAGCCTATGCGTTTTTCCTTTCCTCCAACTACATTTTCGAATGCCCACAAACTCGCACTCGTTTCAGCGTTATTTGCCAATTGTCATCTTCTTGCCACTGTCAACGGGTGAACGGTCAAGCAGCAAACATCTTCGTAAAATATTATGTAAGGGGCTCTATACATTACAATCAATCGCACGATGTATATATATATATATATATATATATATATATATATATATATATATACCTGATGTTAAGATTCATATTCGGATCGTGTTTACCATTCACATTTCCGCTATTTAATTTCAACCAAGCTATAACATTAAGTCACTTACTGTCACTTATTTGCCACCGCCACTTGTCTAAAGTTTCAAATGTTGTTTTGATTATTTAAATAACTGGCACAGAAATGCCGTTTGTACATCGAGCATTGAGCTCAAATTTTATTTTTTTAATTTGTTTGTCTTATTCCTCATTTTGCACGCTCGTTGCTTCTGCATCCGCGCTCTGAACGCTGTCCCATTCGATAGATATCATAGCACTAAATCAAGACGCAGCCAACTTGTCACTGGCTATACAATATCCGCAAAAAGGCTGCAAGCTTTGTCTCTCTGTAACGTTCCATCTACTCTCAATGGTACACGTCATTAGGGGACGTTTTCTTTCTTTTTCCCTTTCCGCCGCAATGCGCACACTTCTTCAAGCCGCGTGACGCATGCCAGAACAGGCTGTCGCTGGGAGCTGTTTCCCACCATTTGTTTGGCCGGGCGCTTCCGTGCCGCCCATTTATCAGCGGCGGGGTGTGGCTGCGACTCACCCGCCGCATGCAACCGACAGCGGCCAATTAGCGGGCCGAATAGTGCCCCGCTAACAATGAATAGCGACAGAGCCGGCATATCGTCAAAAAAATGGCGAAATAGAATATACGCGTGCCAGTGGGACGGATGAAGTGGAGTGAACGGGGTGAGGTGATAACGGACGGAGAGTTGTCGTCACATGTGTAACAGCGAAGCACGTCATTTTCGGGATGAATTTCAGGTTGTTTATTTCTGGGGTGTTCGCGCCTAAATTTACTAATCGCATGACTTGAAAATTGCCTGGCTATGAGCCTTGCATGTTCGGGTCTCATCTGACACGGTAATCAATGAACTTGGCTTTTTTTGGTTACCTGCGCTTGCAGTACCACTATCGTGCTAACTATGCATTGGCGTTGCTATGGATTAGTCCGTGTGAGATTGACTGCCGATTTGTCGCAGCGACTTGTATTATATACCGATTTTTAAACCACGACATGGTCTGTTTTGCGACCGATTATTGGCACCGCCATGGCCTGGGCAGTGTCGAAATTGATTTTCGATTTTTAGACCGTACATCAGTATCCACAATGCAAATGGTTTAGCATTCTTACCACCTCAGACTGCTAAGCTACGGCATTAACCCCTGGCAACACCAACAAGCTGGGTGATCCGTGGTCTGGGTTAGGACGGCACAACTGGCCGGATACGCTCGCCTACACTTTCCCCAGCAAAACGGTACTTTCGCTGCTCCGTCACATGGTGCTAGTCTTGTATCGGCGCGGCAAAGGGGTCACTAGATCCGGGACGGTTTCGACACGTTGCGCAACACACAGATTTTACGTTTCCTGTGCCAGTCGGCCGAAAAGGCTAGATTTTGTGTGTAAAGTCGTATGGCTTGAATGTCTCGCATGATCAAACAACTTGTAGATAAATGCACTTAAGATTGTAGCATTGTTTTAACCCTAAAGGGACAAGCATTTCCCCGTATTGCTGGACAAAATGGCTCACATGTCCCTTACGATCTTAAAACTAGACATTCTTAAGCTATGCAAGATGTAACACCAGATGGCTTGCGCAAATTTGGGTCAGATTAGAGTCTTTGAGTATCAGTTCAAAAGACCTTCTGATGTGTCCCATCGGTGATATCTGATAATCTCTTTAAAGCAACATCCCCAATAAATCACACAGACAAGAAACAAAATACTGATAGAAGCATGTGGGGATTGGCTGATCAGCATGCAGTGCTGTGATTTGTTATGTTGCTCGCGTTCGTCAGTGTGCGATGTTGAGGACGCCACCGCACGCCTAAAACATCAGTCGTTCTTTGCCAGGCCAAAACGGCAGTTAGTGTTAAGCCATGAGAAGTTTAATGTTGTTTTTTATGCTCGTATTTCATGCTCTGATTTTTATGGCTTCGTTGCTGGAATTAAATGAAGGTCCAGATTTGCTTTTGAGGATGTTAAGACGATGTATCCGCATCCGAAACGATGAATCACGATATATTAGAACATGACACCTGTCTCTTGGTGAGCTACTTTTGAATGCAACAGACGATGTCGAAAATAATGTTCGAAAGATCGCAAAACTAAATCGGAAGCTACCCGAAGCACAAAATAACCTTCTCTTAAATAGCCCATATAGAGACACACACACACACATATATGTATATATGTATGCATATACATATATATATATATACATATATATACATACATATACTATATATATACATATATATACATACATATACTATATATATATATATATATATATATATATATCGACGTGTGCGTGTGCGCGCACGTGTGCATGTATAACATTGCTAAGTTTGGCGCCAAACCGTGATCAGCTTGACATATCAAAATTTAAAGGCAAAGGTGGAGACACTTCTTCTTCTTCCCGCGAGACACTCGCACGTGGTCATGTCAGATGCGTAGGGACTTTGCTAGTGTTGCCAGTGAGTGTGCTTCTTGCTCCTCGAATAGGGCTCGGCAACCTCATACGCATGTGCGGCCAGCTCCTCACTGAGAGGAGGCCACACACCACCCTTGAGCTCGGGTCGCGGCAGACCGTCCGTCACCAGGAGCCGTTCTATCAGCCGCTTATAGGCCAAGAGCTTTGACACATTTCCCAGCGATAACCGATGATGACTTCGGAACTTCCGGCGTACTGTCGTGATGTTCTGCAGCGAATTAGATCCCAGGATTAGTCATGTCCCCGACTTGCTAAAATGTGAATTTTTGCATTGTCCCCGGAACAAATACATCGGTATTATGCATGGCCCGAGTGCTGACTTGCATTTGACGTGGCTTGTCACGTAGTGACCGACATTGCTCACTTTTCCAACATGCGCAGAAATTGTCCCGTCATCCGCATTCAAGCTGTGCCTTTATCTGTCCGAGTGAGACTCTGCACACGCCTGGCTTGGACACCGAGACACGTTTAGCTTGAGAGCCCCGGCCCGGCTGCATGCTTTGTATGCGTGAATAGTTCCCTCACACACAAACCCACGCACGCACGCACACCTGCACACATCGAACACGCACACGCACACGCACACGCGCATCAGCTGAATTACTCAGTGCATGACCTCGCTCGTTAGCGCAGTGAGGAGCCAGGTTGCCGTCTATGAACTCCACACCTGTGTACCTCCTTCGCAAACGTCAGGCCACTTTCCTTGGGTCTCACAACAAATGCAGCGGAAGTGTACGCCCACGAGGCGAAGAAACGAAAGGCAACCGACTTAACCAACATTGCCAGCGGCTGGGACTTTCCGTCCGCCGCGTAACACGAGCTGCAGCATTTAATTCACCGGTGGTCAGAATAGCGTGTTTCAGGATATGCACATTGCGCTCCCGCCACCACTTCGGTGGAAACACCGCAGTGTCCACCCCCTGTGCAGCTGCCGATTTTGCCGTCTGATCTAGTTTTGGTTGTGCCTTGCCCCTAACACAGTGCTATGGCGTCGTTCAGACGCGTGTTAACTTGAACATAGCTATGGCCAATGGCTTATCATTCCGCCTAGCGGCTTATGCTGCCCGTCTCTGGCATCCAAATTGCTACGTCACAATATTTGTTACCGTTACGGATCCGGTGGTGTAGCGTTGAGCGGTGTCTACCGCTGTCAGCACAATCCAAGCGACGACGGCAGCCGCACGGCCCAGTATTGAAAGCATCCACAGCCACTGGGAGCGTGCGTCGGGCACTCGTGTCAACGCCCATCTCCTGAAACTTGATGTCTTTTTTAAACACGCTAGATTTATCTTGGAGAGCTCTGCTGTCCAATCGAGCATGTGATGGAGATTGAAAGACAGCTGACTAGTCGGACTACTAATTGGGTGGCGTGCAGACGTCAAAGCGCTGGGGGATTTCGTTTCAACGTCTCCTAGAAATGGGCGTGGCGCTGGGTCTGTTACTTGCAGAGACCCACTCGACAAAGCCTGAAAGCCCTTTAGTTTGAGTTTTTCGGTATTGCCAGTTCTCATGTTGCAGTTGTAATGCCGAAACTGCCCACTCCTCTGGGCCCTTAAGCTACAGCGCTCTTAGCAAAGAGATGTGGGTATCGGGTATTGGGAGAGCATCGTCGTCGTCATTTGGGCTTTACGATGCACTTACATTAATGTAAGGAGGTTCTCTTTCCCAGCAGCATACATTATGCAATGAAATGACAACAAATGAATGCACGCATTATGCAAGAAACAGAATCGATTACAGGGTGAAAGAACTACCAAATGTCCTCGAACTCCCGAGATGATCTCACTCGAGGTGTCAGGCCTCTCCTGAGAGAAAATCATTTTCTCGCTGAAGATAACGAGCATTTCAGTCGCCCATAAAAGATTCTCTAGAATTACTGTCGGCATTAGCTATGTCTACTCAGATTTGGACCTTTTCTCGCGCATTAAGTTCTTGAATCTCAATTTTCGTAAAACCTTGTTTACTCGCGGCCATAGGCGCCGACCCAAAACACTGAGTTTTCTTCTAGCAGTGGTTGTTCACCATCAGATGTCGTCAGAAAGCGGAAAGGACGGTGCTGGAAATTGCGGCAAGACACACTTTCGCCACGAAATTATGCTCTTGAAATGAAACTTCATAATCGGGCGATGACGCAGGGTACACACGTGCATTTCTTGGCGTAAGCCCCGATCCAGAAATACACTCAATCAATGTTCAGACTGAGTACAAAAGCTGAGATAAATTTTTGCTTGCTAGCGTCGGTATTTCGTACCTCCTGGTACCTGCAAGTCAGTTATTTTCAGTTTCATATTCGGATGTTGAACGAGTGTACACACTTGCATTTCTTAGCGTAAGCCCCGATCCAGAAATCCGCCCAATCAATTTTCAGACTAAATACAAAAGCTATCATAATATTTCGCTTGCTGACGTCAGTAGCTAGTACCTCCTGGTACACTGCAGGCCGACTATTTTCAGCACGAGATTTTGTAATACATCGACACGTTACCAAATGCCATACATTCGCTCCGAGGTTTACACAATTTTATTTTTAGAGCAAGCTTATCTACGGGGCATCAACATCCCATGGCGCACGCCGCACATTATCGGCTACTCAAGGGCCGATGCAGAAGGAGGACCACGCGACCATGACCCCCCCCCCCCCCTTCCCTCTGGGCCTCGAGGGGGCCCGTGTGCTCCGAAGAAGCCCATAGCTGGCCGAACGGACGCAGTTTTTTTAACACAGAACGCAACAAAATTGGACATCTTTGGGCTTCCAGGCAACCAAGAACAATCGCAAGCGAAAGTACAGGGTCTACGAGTGAAAAATATTATTTTTCACTGATTCAAAGAGTGGTGATCGAGAGGTTTTAAGGTCCATTGCGCTGGCCAGAGGCCCTGAGCTGGGCTCGGGCACACCGGATTGTTCGGGGTTGCTGCACATCGGGTTTCGGTATTTGAATGGAGGCCCTACGCTCCTGTCGGGGCCATCTGACAGCCTGTTTGGGTACACTTGATCTTTCGGGGGCCCTTCACACCGGGTTTTGGAGGCTTCTTATTTGAACGGAGGACATTACCCTCCTGTCAGAGGCCCCATCTTTTAACCTGTTCGGGCACACTCGATCATTCCTGGGCCCTCCACATTATGTCTTGGGTGTTTCTTATTTGAATCGAGGGGCCTATGTTCTTTTCAGGGCCTTATCGGGTCTTATCCATTAAGCTGCTCGGGCCAGTGGCGGATCCAGAGGGGAACGAGCCATGCCTCCCTCCCCATTCTTGTGCCCCGAATGGGCACACGGGCTCTAAAGGGGCTTATGAGCGGTCGAACGGACACATTTTTAATACAAAACAGCAAAATTGGACGTCTTTGGGACTCCAGACGGCCAAGAACAGTCGTTAGCTAAAGTGAAGAGCGCGTGAGCAAAGTTAGCTCGTCACTGATCGAGAGGGTGGTGACTGGGGGACATTTTGAGGCTCATTGCGCTGTCCAGAGGCGTTACGTTAAGTTGCCGGAGCCCTATAAGTCTAATTTCCTGGTCAATCCTATTTCTAATGAGTCTTCCACGTTTCCCTGGTCCCTTTACATTTTCCCGTGGGGCGCTACGCTGCTGTTGGGGCACTATCTCCTGACATGCCTTGGCACTTTTAATCGATCCGGGGCCTTCCATGGATTCTTCCCATTCGTTCGAAAGGCTCTAAACGCTTTTGTAGTGGCCCTATGTGCCTGGGTACGCTCAGTGGCCCAGGTTCTGCCATATTAGCCTCGGGTTTCTTATACTTGCTCAGAGGGCCTTGAGCTGTTGCTGGGTCCATGTTTGGTAATGCACCAAGTCACTCGATGCTCAGGGGCCGTCTACATTGACCTACGGCTATTTTTCTTTGATCTCGTCTGCGGAGAACTTTTCACTCCCACCGGGGCCCTTTCCGTTAACCTGCCCGGGCACTCTTGGTTGCAAAGGAGTATTAATTATGCACATTGGTTTCAAGGAATTCCCCTTTGCTCGGAGGGTCGTCCTTTTCGCTTGCTCTGAGGACCCTATACTCGTTGACGACAGCCTCTTTATTGGCCTGCCGCAGCAACCATGATCACTCAGGTTCCGTCTCTACTGGCCTTGGCGCCTTAGTCTCAGAGCAGCGGTCGAATATGCACCAATGAGTTTTTACGCGTCATCGTCAAGCATAATTTACATATCATGGATGTAAATTATGCATGCGTCATTTCCCTTCGTCAGTGAACTTGTGATACCTGTTACACTAGCGCATCACGTTCTTAATACATTTTAAATGCTAAGATATTTCGTACTTCTCCATAACAAACTAAGCAAAAACTCTGCTTTAGTCATCAGCCACCAGTTGATCACATCGACCAGACAACTAGCTGTAAATAAGCTTGACGTCAAGTTTGTGCATGATGTTAATAGTATATAGCAGCAAACTTTAGTATATTTTGAACTGTTTTTAAAAAACAGCCTTAAATGGCAGAAATTATACCATTGCAAGAATCTTCAAATCTAATGACCGAAATGCGAGGATTATTGGAGGGACCCTGAACTCTAGGGGCCTCTTAATGTTGCGTGCTCCCCCTTGACGAAATTCTGGATCCGCCCCTGTGGCTACTGCACGCTGCACAACCCCAGCAGCGTGTGGTGTGTGCTCAGCTGAGACCACGTGACTGCTATGGATCGGATGCGGGCGGGTCGACGTGGTTCACCGGCGTCCAGGGCCGGCGACACGGTATGTTGCTGTCGGACAAAGCCATCTGCTCCTCGTGTCAGGCCCGGCGCTAACAAACGGCTCGCCGAGTGCTTTGAAGCGTGCCAATATTTGCATCAGGCTACCACACGGCACGAATATTCGGGACTGACTGATGCGCTGTTCAGCGAAAAACAAGCTTCGCGGCTTGGATAGCGGAGTTCGCACGTGCGAGGGCGAGTGACCGATGCGTCAGTGAGAACGCAGCGGGCTCGAGTACAGCTGCACCGTAAACAATGGCCACCACTTCATTTATTAGTCACCACAAGTGTGGCGAAAGAGCGGCGGAGGGGGAGAACGTACTGGCACCAACTTTTTTGGAAGTTTCAATTGATCGCGATTTAAAGTAATGTGCCCAGTGCGCGCGGGAAAGGGATGTTCCATGAACACGAGCTAAGTAACGTCGCAGCTGGTCAGGTGGCAAGGGCAGCAACGCCTTCCGCAGGTGTGTCGTGTGTGGTGGCCTTACCTTCAGCGCGTTGTACTCGAGGTCGGCCTCCGTCAGCTGCACCCGCGTGGCCTCCTGTCGGTTCTGGCAGTCCACCCGCTCGACGCTCAGGCGCGTCGTCTTCTCCTCGTTCTGCTGCCTGCAACAGCGCCGCAGTCACGCGCCAGCAGAGCCCGACAGCGCCGCTCGGTAGGCACCGTTATTGCAGTCGGCCACATTGTTGACAAGATTCCGCAGCTGTGCCACGGAACTTCGCGACGTTCCGCCGCCAACCAGTTAACAGGTTTGCGACGGAGAATGTAGCAACAAGACGGCGGCATCGACAGCGATGGCAGCACCGCGACGCCGACCGATTGCGAACCGCCGGCGTCGGCCGATCAGCAGCGGGGGGGGGGGGGGGGGCAGGCCCGGGACTGGACGCCTCCGGCGACCGCAGCCCCGGCGTTCCGGCCGATTTCCTACGTCAGGGCGCGTGTCGCGCCGCGCCGCCATCCATTACGCGGCGTGCGGGACGGGGACGCCGCTCCCACCGCCGCCAGGTAGAGGCGGGGTATTGATCGGCCGCGAAGCGATAGCGCACACGACGCCGGCGGCGGCCGCGGCGCAAACGGAGAGCGGGTGCCGGCGGTCGGGGCGCGCCCACGGAGGGGCTCGCAGCGGGGGGCGCGGCCCAGCCCGCCGACTCCCGCCCCGTCCGGTGGTGGCACGTCCTAAGGTGATGGCTGGTGGCATTCCCAGCAAAGCCGGCCGCTCGGCAAGCTTCAGAGACGCGTGCGCTACCGCGCATTGCGGCCGCTGCCGGCACAACACCGCCAATGGGTCGAAGCCACTCTGCGGACGTTTCAAGCAAGTGTAAGAGTGACAGACGCAGACCCTAACCGGCCGGGGCGCACTGTCCCAGCCAGGCCTCTGCCTACGTAAGCGTGAAATCGAACCGTCGGCCGGCGATCGGGAACGCGTGCTCAAAGGCCGGGTCGCAGGAGAGAAGAGTCAAGTCATCGAGTGGAGCGCTGACAGCGTGAAATGGCCCCGCTGGGAGCCGGCCGCCGCCTCAGACCGCGTGATAGCGGCTGATCTCGCGACTCTTGAGATAGTGGTGGGCCGGGTGGAGGTGTCCCAGGGCTCGGCGGCGTCCGCGAGCGAGGCGTTGGTCATGTTCGTGCGACCCGCTGTGGCCCCTGCCCTCCACGCCGTCCCTACATCCCCCCAACACGACCCAATGGAATGGGACTGATGGACTCGCCAACGTGCGCTCACTTCATGGATAACGACAGGTGATTCATGTTCTGAGCGCCATAAAAAGCATATGAGGCGTGGCAGATTAACATCATCATGAATTTTACGCGCAGTGATGTCAGCTGGTCCCGCCGCAAGTCATGTTTCAGTCAGTTTCGTTACGTTTGTCTGTGCAAGTCCGCTGCTCATGTCAACGAACACGTAATCCGGGGCCCGGCTGACTTGTAGTTCCACGACCGATAGCCACAAGGGCTTGTGTTAGACGCGGACCTAGTGAACGTATGTCGGTGTGAGCAGAGTCGCAGCTAGGGGGGGGGGGGCAATGGATCTTTAACATTCTTCTCTCTGGCGAGATCGAGCGCAGATCTTTTTACCACGACACTACTGAATATAATTCCGCAATCTGGTGATCAGGGCACTCGGTTCGGCTTTGCATGCCATTGACTGCCATGCGCAGCGACAGGTCGCAACCAGGAGCAGTAATTTAGTTGCGGGGCCAGCGACTCTCTGGGCGGCCACGAACGGTACGTGGACAACTGGTTTCGGCGACAGGATAAAACGGCATTGACAGGCCATTGCTACGTTAGGCGCTGCACTTATCAGCGTGTGTGGCGTCTGTAGCCGTTAGAAGTGCGCAGGTACTGTGAATGGGGCTGAGACCCGGTCCCAAAACAACTCCTGGTTCGCGGCCCCCGCCGTAGTCAAACCTGGCTGCGCCCCTGAGTGCCCGCGGAGTGCTCGGACACTCCGGTGCTAGCTGTTCGTGTCGCACACAGCGTTTCCATTCGGCAGTTGACGGACCTAGCTGTGGGAACGGCTGGAAATCGGGTTAACGTCAACATTAGAGCTCATATATTACCCTGTATGGGACATAATATTGTCAGTGTCCGCCCATCACGCTGAGTACCAAACGACACGAGGCTGAACATCAAATTACGCTAAGTGAATGCAGATGGTAGCCCGCCCATGCTCGTTCAAGATGCGGTGGCGAAGTGAAGCGCCCCATTTTGTGCTGTCATTTGTAATGTTTATCGTAGCCAGCCAACTTTTGAAGGACAGCTGACTGAAGATGACGAAACCTAAGAGGGTTTGCGGTCAGTGCGTACCGCGTGAACTCATTCGTGTCGTGTCAGATGGCCTCTTGAGCGTTTGCAGCATTGGAGCGAGCAACACTTAAGTAAATGTTTACACTAGTAGCCGAAAAATTTTGCCATTGAGAATAGAACCAATACCGGTTGCAAAAAAAATCCGAAATCTTTATTAGCCCGCAAAATGTTAACGCTCATTAAGTGTCTTATTTTTGCAGCAAATAGCGGTATAAATAATTTAACTAGCAACTAACTAGGGTGTCTCATGCGGTGTGGAACAAGCGATGCAATAACGATATGAACGATGATGATGATGATGATGATGATGATGCTAAAAGTTAAGATAATAACGTAGCCAGACGCCTTTGACAAACGATGCCAACAACTGTCATCAATGCAATTCTGAGATCTGACGTCAAGTTGCATGAACTAATTTAAGAGGTGGAGGTCCCTAAGACAGCTTTTCCGGGCCAATCCATAATAATTTTCTGGGAACAAAATGACTGGACATCAGTTCGGTCAAGCCGAATAAACTCAAGTTGGCAATCGATGAATTCACAATAAATGAAATTTTTGTACCCGGGATCAAAGCACTACAAAAATACCCAAAAAATGATTAATTATCGTTCACAATAAACAGGGCTATAAGTTTGCGCAGTTGTCTTGGCCAATCTTTCGCGGTGCACGCACAGCGTCTCGTGCTCCAAATGTGTGTCGGAAAAGATGACACTGGACGCTTCCCGGTCACTTCCTGGCGGATTTGTGGGCCTAACAGCGGTGAGTTGTAGCCAGTGCATTTGCCTACACCGCGCAACTGACTCTTCGGCTTTGTTTGCTCTGGTTGCTGAGATCTGACGTCAACAGAGATCTGATAACCTGATCTGATGATATGATCTGACGACCTGATCTCGCGATCTGACCTAACGATCTGGTCTGACGTCAACGGAGATCTGATCACCTGGTTTGACGATCCGATCTGACGACCTGATCTCGCGATCTGACCTAACGATCCGGTCTGACGTCAACAGAGATCTGGCGATTCGATCTCACGATTCAATCAGACGATATGATCTGACGATTTGATCAGACGATATGAGCTGACAATTTGATCTGACGATCTGATTTGACGATCTGGTCTGTCGTCAACAGAGATATGACGATTCGATCCGACGATATGATCTGACGATTTGATCTGACGATCTGATTTGGCGATCTGATTTGACGATCTTATCTGATGATCTGATCTGACGAGATCCGATCTCAAATGGCACCTGACGTTTGACGTCCTAGCCCGCGTAGATTCCTGGTTTGCACGCGAGGGTATGTGGCCATGTGTATGTACAAATACTCAATTTCGTTAATGCGATAGACCTTTTTCTCCTCAGTCAGAATATGTTAGCATCGTACTGTCGCGACGTCGGTTGGTACAGATCTGGCACCTGCTGCGGCCCGTGTTCTTCAGCATCTTTGCGGTTGGGAAGTTTTACCTTTGCAATCTTAACTCATTGGGGAAGGTGAGATCGAAGCGATATTAAGATGCTGCAGGCAAAACTCACTTGTCCAGAGCACTTGCATGCTAATTCTCAGCAGCCATTTAAGGACTGAGTGCCTTGTGTTGTAGCTGAAAACCTTATGGAACCACAATCAGTGGATGTTAATGTATTAGCTTTTAGAAGACGTTACGACCCAGTCGGGTCGGGCCATCCAAGATGAAAATTAAGCCGTGGTTCAAGTTTTCCGCACTCGACACGTGGTTTTCCTTACAATAAGATACAAGCGATGGACATCTGGGTTAGACATTGTTCAACTTCTGTAACATCTGGAACGAGCATTGTGAAATGAATGAAACTTTGCGAGCTTGTCTGCTTACTTGAGTGCAGGAAGGTCCGACAGAATCACCATCTCCTCGCGCATCTTCGTCATCTTCTCTCGCAGGGTCTTCATCTCATCTCTGACTTTTTCGTCCAGCGCCTCGATCTGAGAAGGTTACTCATCATTATTTACAAGCACACTCATGTCTACTTGCAGTGAGTCGGACCATGTTTTAGTGCATACGAAATACCTCACTGGAGTGCTTCTCATAAATGATGGGCTTATTTATGAATTCGAATGCCACGAAAGTGCGATGGGAACGTTCAAACAAACTACGTTTCATTTGCCCCATGCTAGAAAGGTCACGATAACTGGATCACAATTCATATCCTCGTTGCCAGAAACGTCACTGTATCTGGAACACCAGAAACGTGTAGCTCGCGGCTGTAGATCTACTGCCGGGGGTCATGCAAGCAACAAAAGCCTGATGCAACACCACCCTCCAGTGCGAGCCGGCTTAAAGTATAGGCCGTGCGACTATGCGGCGATTTCGTTGCCTTCGATGAAAAGCCTCTACGGTCTCTGCAGTATTGGCCATATGTCTGGCATCAACATAATTATCAGTGAACGTGAATTTTGGCACCCATAATTATCAGTGAAATTATCATAATTACCATGGTGCCAGGAAGGGTCCAGCCGCCTCCCTCATCAGACGGTCCAAACCTGGTGCACCGTAAGGCCCTTGGCTAGCCCGGTACGATGGTCACTCAGCCTAGCATCAGTATTCATTATGGGACCATTCGTCTGATGAATGGCTTGAAATGCTTTCGTGCCAACAGTTGGAAGACAGAGCGTAATGGAAGTGCAAAAGTCCATACCGATACTCACACCTACACATAGAATATACACACGGATATTAACCGGTGGCATTGCCAGGTAAGCGCTGGCGGTCCGGAAAAGTTTCCCTGAGCGCCTCCTCTGCTCCGCCGACACGGCCCGACGCGGACCCCCTCACCCCAGTGATGACCCCACTCCAGGTGAGAGGTCCGTGCGGCGCCGGCGCGGCGCGGCGGCCGCCACCATTAGCGCCTGCTCAGGTGGCTGTCCCGGTCCGGGCGCCCATCGCCTCCTGTCATTACGCGGTCGTCGCCGCGCCCCGGGAACGCGTTAGACCAGCCGCCGCGCTCGGCGTGGGCCAGGGATTGGCGACGGCCGGCGCGCGCCAGAGTTGGCCCTGGTTTGACGCGCGCCCCGCCCGGCGAGCCGTCCAGAGTTGGCCCCGGTCTGATGCGCGCCCCGCCCGGCGAGCGGTCTCCTAGGGAGGGGGGGGGGGAACGACCCAGCCGGCGACAGAGCGAGTGGGGGTGATGGGTCCCGGGGCGGCGGCGGACCGAGCGGCGTCGGTGGATCACGGGACTGCGGCGGACCGAGCGTCCGGGTTTGGCAGCGATGGGCATCGTCTTGTTTGTCGCTCGCTGCCGCCAGGGGAGGGGGGGGGGCAGCAGCAAAGTGCATTTATGTATATGGGGCTGCAAAGCGACGACCGTTCGACGAGCGTCACTGCCAATAAGAAAGGCCAATGTTTACGAGTGTTACGATGAGTTCAGATGGTACACAGCCCGAAGTGGCAAGCTGTAAGCGCCGTACATTGAACGAAGTGATAGTCACGACCGTGGTCCATGTGACCCCATCCTGTTGTCTGCCGAAGCGGGTTTGCTATTGCTCCCATTCTTCCAGGTAATTGCTCACATATAATGCGAGTACAGCTGATGCTGCGTTTGATGGTCGTGCAATATCCACTTTGAGTAATTCGACTGTATATGCTCACTAATGCAAGCACTGTACATGCATAAAGGAAACAAAATTAGTTGAATTGAAATGACGCCACCTTGGACTATGCCATCCCGAGCCGCAGTCCACAGCACGGTGGCGGGGTGCGCACTGGTTCCGTTACCTTCTGGTGATTGGCCTGCAGCTGCTGATGCTTAGTGGCAAGGTCGGTCAAGGTGTTCCTGGACTTGGCGGTCTCTCCTTCTTTAACCATGAGACTGTCCCTCAGCTCCCCCAGGTCCTTGGACGTGAACCTGCAGCGCACAGCGTTCTCGGCTGAGTGTTGAGCCCGCAACGTCAAACGCTCACAGCTCAGACAAAGATCGCGCGCGACAAAACCGGACAACGTTGAGAGCTGGACATGCAAAACCGACATCCAAAGGTCCAGCACTGAATCTGTGCCGCAATACTCACGCAGGCTCGACATCACGCCTGCGCCACCACACAGTCACGGGTTATGCGCTGAATCCACGCCACAGATCATCCACAGGCTGAGTGCGAACCATGGTGGCAGCCAAGGTCAAGGTCAAGGTCAGTGCCCTCATGACTGAACGCTACACCGCGGCGATCCGCCAGCATCAGCTCGCGTGGGTCGAACAGCGGCACCTTCCTCGCAAGTGGACAAACTTAACCAACCTCTTCTCTGACCCGGGATGAATACTCGTCCCCACCCCCCCCCCCCCTCCCTCAGCGCCGGCGAGATCTGCCAGCCGGCGCCGCAGGGCAGCCTGACCCCTGACCCCTCCCGGCGGCCTCCGTCTGCGGTCCTGCGCCCGAGTCCACCACTCACGAGGGCAGGTGGCGCACGTGGCCCAGATTCTTGCTGATGGTCTCCAGTGTGCGCAACACCTCCACCTCGGCCTGCGCCACCCCCTGCGTCTCGGTCGCCTTCGTCTCGTCGTAATTCAGCAGGAACTCCTGCATCTCCTCCTCCCGCCTCCGCAGCTCGCGGTACTTTAGGTTGCGGTCCGAGTTGCTGTCCTCCAGGTCCTACGGCAGTGGCGAATCGAGGTATTTGGCACAGTTGTCTGTCGGGAAAATGCTGCGGGCGTCCACGCCAGAACACACCGTAGCTGAAGTAGGGCTATCGGTGCGAGGCAAATCACGACATGGTGCTATGTTCCGTACCTTGTCACACAATTCGGCCCCAGAGAATTCTGACAAGCGCGTCATTGCAGCCCGGCCATATCGCATCACTGCGCTGAGCTGGTTGGTGGCACGTGCTGCAATCGTGGTCTCTCAGCCCCCACCCCCGTCGGCAAGGAACAAGCGTAGCAACTCTCTCACTGTTTTCTATGCCGCAGCTATTGCCTTTTTATGGTGGCACCACACTTGGATGTGCAACAAACGAGCAACAAAAAGTGTCTCAACCGGCTAGCGTGAAGGGGGCTATTTGTACCAGGAGAAGAACAAATTGTTCGCATACATGATAGGCAGAACATTCACTTTTCTCCAAAATGCTACATGATTTAGAGGGAACAAAGTCATCTCCCCTCCCCCTTCCACCCCTGGTCGCCGGGCTTGCCTCACGAATGGCAGGTCTTTAAAATACACCCTGCGATCAGTGGACTGCGCTTAGCTGCAGCAGCCGTCAGCGACTCGAAGGGCTGGCCCGCCGTGCACCCGAGCCATGCGGCACAGTCTACCAGTAGTGATGTCGCCGTGTTAGGACGCGAGGTTAGATGGAGGGTGACGCCAGCCGGCGCCAACAGGTCAGAGACCGCCTTCACTGGAGAATGGGTAATTTCGGGGTAAGAGGTTGACGTTATATAAAGAACGCCACTGTCTGCAAATATGTACGGCACCGAAAAGAAGAATGTCACTCTACCGAATGTTATGAAAAAGAGGACACGGCGGCAAATCTGCCTTTTTTTTCTCATGCTGGCGTTTTTCCTTCTTCTACTGACGTATTTTTTACAGGCAGCTCAGTTGGCGTATTGTGCACTGGGGCAAGGAACCTTTCATGGGCTTAAAGGCAACGAAGGGATTATGAAATTTGGAAAATGATATGGTAATTTGACACATTTTAAAAAGTAAGGGCTCTTAAATTGCATTATCATGAGCCCCCGCTAAGGGTGTGTTTTGTAGGGAACTCGCGGTAAAATGCGGTGTTATAACCGAAAACCTACGCAGCAATTGTGAGAAAACCTGCAATTCGATAGTCCCGCGGGCTGTGCAAGCGTGGAATCACATCTTTTTGAAATTTGTGTGTGAACCAGGCGCTTGAAATGGGTGTGGTCACCGGTAGTGTTTGCCAGCGAATTGTATTTATCTAAACGTGATGGGAAGTGTGCGTACGAGGTATGCACTGCAGAGAGAGAATATTGCTTTGGTATTATTCAAGGGTAATTACTCCCAATAAAGTGTGATATGTCGATATCTGCCTGTATCTTTTTGTTTGCATTTAAACATGGTAGTGTGAGGTGATGCCAACAAATCATAAGCCAAATCAAGTTATTTTGCAATTAAACCATTGAAATGGAACCAGTCAGGTATATCATTGCATCACTACTAGGGAATATGGTAATCTCTGTCCTGCTGTAAGAAGTGTGGCCATCTGTATGTTGATAAACAAATTTAGAGATATTTTTGTTGGAAGTAAGTGCCCATACGGACTCATCTATATTGGTCAAAAGGCTTGAGCTATTCTGGAGCCCGAGAATTCATTTCAAAATAAGCACAGAGTTCCATCTGACAATGGGACTTTTCTTTTATGCCGTCCAAACCAGATACATTGCTTTTGTCAGTTCGCTGGTCACCACATACATTTACATCCACTCATTTTTGTGTTGACAGCATGTTGCTACAACTCTGAAACTGGGACAAGCAAGAAGGTGAATTGTATAGCAGTAAGAATCGGCTTGCATTTCGTTTTCAAATGCTACGCCTGCGTGCGTGGACGCATGCCCTAGTAATACGCATGGTAAGGCGGTGTAAGTATGGTAAGGCGGTGTCTTACCTATGCTCTTCCCACAACGGAACGTAAGAATCATGAGGTGCAAGGACTGCATAACAACTTGGCTGGGACAACATTGGGGCATCCTTGGTTTCATTTCCCATCTCAAATGGTTGAAACCTCACTCGCAATGCACGAGTGCAATGCCGTGGTCGAAAAACGTCAGAATGAGCTAGTTTCTTTATCCGACATAACATTTGTCCTCTTTTTACACCTATGATGCAGTGCTGCGCCAGAAGCTGTCTTACAGAGAGCTTTATAATACTCAAATGGCCCCGTTGCCTACTTTCTCGTGACGTATTTTCCGTGTTGTTTTTTTATCAGACCGTCTATAATATTCAGTGACGTAAAATTGAGAAAAGAGCGTCGACGGCGTTCTTATTTTTCGTAGCATTCGCTAAGGGTCGTGTTTTCGTGAATGCGTAAGGGAAACTACGCTAAAAATACTATAAATATGACGAGCAGGAAGAAATGGGTCAGCCCTTTCCTAAAGCGCACAAAACTACGTTCTTCGTTCAAAATTTGACCAATTTCCTTTCCGAAGTTGAGAGAGCTTGGACCCACCAACAAAAAAGGAAGCTATACCCCAGTTTTGGGGTGTGGTCTTAGTCAATCAACTAAAACTAAACTGAGGAAGAACGTTCATCACGTCACTAAATTACGCAGGTGGTCGTGTTTTCCGACATGATTGGGGCCTGCCGTGGGCCCGACATCCTAACCACGAGACCCTTATTTCTCACCTTATTTAGCCCGCTTTATGTTTGCGAACGTCACTTTTTCTTTTGAATTCGTGCACCATTATAAAGCAATCCTTACTTGGCGGCATAGTCCTCAGAGTCACCAAATAATCTCCAAAGAAGGCAGCCTTTTTGTGATAATTTCTGTGTTCCCCAGTTTCATAATTCAGCACAAAAAAGGTTCTGGAGTTCACATTTCCTGGTGTCTCTCCCCAAAAACCATTAGAAAGCACAAATCAATATTAAGGACGCTAGAATCATCACAGAAATTTACACAGACACCTCGTCAATTACTTACCCATATTGCAACCCAAGCAAAAACGATCTTCTATCCCAAACTTCGTCTGGAAGATCCCTAAAAAGAACATGAACAGTGTGGAAGAAAAACCGTCGCTAATGCACCACGGGGGGCCCACACATCGAAGTCTACCGTCAGCAAGACTCACGTTCTCAGTTATCTGCAGCTCTTCTGAGGCTTTTCCAATTTCGGACTTAAGCTCGTGAATGCGGCGTTCCAGAGTTCCCATCTCCTGGTTATCTGCCTTCACCTGTAAAAGTCAGACCATAAGAGGAAACAATGCGAGAAGCGGCAGCGGTAAATGAGGGTTTGTGAGTCAGCCATGGTGTACCACTACCATTAGTTGGGCAATGCAGCCGCACCCCCACATTTCAGAAGATGAGCATGAAGTCTCCGGCGTTGCATAGAAATGATGCACTAAAAATGTAATTTGCATTCCCCAACACTGTTGTTAAGCCTCAAATATCTGGAGTTAACACCGAATGGGTGCAAAAACGCCAGAAAAGTGGAGGAAAGAGTGAATCTCATCACCCACTCAGCTCCTTCCATGAATCAGTGTAGGGTTAATGTAAAACTTCCACTGAATATGTACGTGTGGGGGAAGGGCGCGGTGTCAACCAGCCCCCATCCTTCCCCCAATTCCTACGACCATGGCAGCAGCAGCCGTCATGGCGGTGAGTCCGCTCCGGCGAGCAGAGCGGGGCGTCAGAGGAAGACTGAGTGAGCGGGCAGGAGAGGCCGGCATGATATGACAACAGCAGATGGAGGGCGGCGGTGGTAAGGTGCTTAGCGCGGACACAGCACAACGGGCAGAAGAAATGTCTGCAGCTGCCGGCGACAGATGCAGCGCGAAAGCCGCCGGCAGCGGACGAGTAGTGGGCGGCCAGCAGGCGGCAGCCAGCTGTTAAGAGCAGACGAACCATCCTGTTTGCGAGCCTGATGTGCGGCCAGTTCCCCAAAGTTGACCAAGGTGGCGCAGCGTCGGCAGCAGACGGCCCATCTGATGGCCCAGACAGACCGGAGAGACGCCGAATCAGCCGCGGATGGAGCAGCCGTCCCTGCTGCCGACAGCCGGCGCTTTGATTGGCCGAGCACGCCGCCAATTAATCCTCAATTTCAGGCCTAATGAACACGACGTCGGGCGCCGCCCTCGCATGTCATTAGCTCCGCGCCTGCATCTGTGATGCGTGATGCGGCCTGCTTGGCTGCCAACCGTCCAGCATCTGCCGGTGTCGCGATCTCGCGATCATCTGGCGGCGTCGCGACCTCGCAATCATCTGGAGGCGTCACGATTTTCCGATCATCTGGCGGCGTCGCGATCTCGCGATCACCTGGCGGCGTCGCGATCTCGCGATCATCTGGCGGCGTCGCCATCTCGCGATCATCTGCCGGCGTTGCCATCTCGCGATCATCTGGCGGCGTCCCGATCCGCCCTCTGACGTCACGACCGAGCGCAACGTCCATCGGCGCGGCGGCTTATCATGAAAACCGAGACTTAACGAGACACGTCAAAGTCGCCGGCAGCTGCGACTCACGGGGTGCGACCCCACTGCCCTTTCAACGGGGCCAGGAGCACGTGCTCTTTTACCTCGGCCTCGCACACAAGTGTGCGGAGAGGGAGGCAAGCTGCAGTGTGGAGTCGCCGGCGTGCTTGGCTTTTGCTGTGGAGTTCGGTGATAGCATCCCACCCCTCTCTCTAAGCTAGTCAAAACCTAGCATTTGCTCCTCCAACCGCGAAAGACAATCTAGCGTTCGTTAAGCCGTAATATATGGAAAAACCTGGTCAGAACGCATTCTGATCCCACCCTCTCCCCACCCGCCTCCAACTTCTGTAAGTTCCCGCGCTCCTGCGCGCAGGTAACCTTAAGCGCCCCGCTCAGCCGTGGCTGCTCTAGGAGCCTCCTCTGCTCCAGCCTCATCGGTTTCAGGAGCCGTTCCCCTCTCCTGCCTCGCCCTTATCAGAATCCGTCCCCCCCCCCCCCCCAGTCTCACCTGCTGCAGGAGGCGCTCCCGCTCCTGTTCGGGAGTCTCGCGCGAGTTCTTCTCGTCCAGCAGCTCCATCCTCTTCGTCTCCAAGTAGCTGAGCTTGTCGTACTGCACGGCCGCTTCCTGCTTCAGCTGGAGATGGGCCCGACGCGGTTACGACCGCGGCCCGAGACCGCTACGACGCGACTCCCGGACGGTTACGACACGATCTTCACCGAACGTCTTTCGGCGGGGTCCGTAGTAACGCGGAAATGCCGGCCCCCGAGCAGCGCGAGCACGCCCGGGGAGCGACCCGCCGCGAGCAGCGAGCCGATGGGCGGCCGCAGCGGCCGGGCTACGGCTGAGATTGGCACCACGGTGGGAGTAAGACCTCACCGCGCCGGCAGCACTGACATGGATGCCAAGGCGGACAAAAGAGCACTTAAGAAGCAGTGGGGAAGGTTTACAGAGACTTGAGTGGAAGCAAAAGGCAGGAAAGGAATGGCATAAAGGTTAAGTACGCTGCTGTGTGCTGCTATGTGGCAGAGCACGACATATGACCGGGATTTCCACTCAAGTTGAATCCAAGCTATGGAACAAATGTGTTTGCTTTCATATAAATTAACGCTTTACGCACAGATGCTCTTTATGTCCACCGGTTCTTTAACAAAGCACCAGCCACATTTCCGTCTCAGTGACGCTTTACGGCGTCCCAGAATGAACCCAGCCGTGTCTGCCAGCAGCCCCTCCCCGCTCCGCCGGTAATCCGGCCGGCAGCGGAGCTCCGGCTCGGTACTTAGCCGGCCGTCTCGGCGCCGCCGGGCCGGCGCTGCTTGACTGCCGCACGCACGCCGCTTGACCGTCGGATGGGCCGGCCTGAGGGTGCTCAGACAGGCCCTGGCCGGTGCTTGGCCGGCCGGGAGAGCGCCGCCGGTCGGCTGAGGACGCTTCCGACGGTCTGGTCCCACGGCGGCGTCACGGGGTCAGGGGGGTGGGGAGTGGTGGTCCGGCGCCGGGGTGGAAGGTCACTTCTGTGGGGGGGGGTTGTCTGCCGATGTTGGTACGCGGACGCTTGCGTCTGGAGTTAGTAAAGCGCAGGGAGTCCATACGGCGGGAAAGCTGGACGCAAGGCACACCTACCCACCGTCAAAGGCACGTGACAAGCGCTGTCCGATGAGCCCACCTGGTTGGCACAGTTCGGGACCTCTCCCCCTGATGTTGCTGCTCGGCCGAAGAACGGGGAGGGCTGGCCGTTCTGAGCCGGTTCCGGGCGGTGCTCTGCCGCATCCGGCAGGGGGAGAGGGCGGGTAAGGGGTCAGGGACGGACGTACCGGCGAGGCGGCCAGGTCGGCGTCCAGCTCGTTCTTCCTGGCGCCGAGCGCGTCCGCCTGCTGCTGGGCGTGCTCGATGGCCGTCTGCAGCTGCACGTTCCGCTCTTGCAGCCGCATGTAGCGGTCCCGCACCTCGCCGGGCATCGAATCCACCAGCGTGTCGGCCAGCCGCCGCTCCTAGCGGCGGCAGGGCAGGCGGGCAAGGCCGGTCAGAGCGGGCGGCATAGGTGGTCAAGAACGGGTGGTAAGCGGTCTGGGTGGCGGGGTGGGGGGCGGGTCAGGGAGGGGAAGGGGAGGCCAGAAGCCGGGTGGTCGGGGGGGGGGGGGGTCCAGGATCGTTCGTCACGGAAGGACGGATTGGTCGGGGGCTACCAGTCCTGAGCAGCACCGTTCTGAAGCGGGGCTGTGGTCTCGGTCAGATTAGAGTAGGGGGGGGGGGGGGCGTTAGAAGCTGGCGTGTGTCAAATCTCACCCCGTGAGTGTCATTCACGGTTCTGGTCGCTCGCACGTTTGGGTGGTTTGAGTCCATCGGCAGAGGTCAGGAGCTGTTAAAAGGAACTGTCGAGTGATGACATCATCAGACGGCAGGGTTAATTGTCATCAGAGAAGAGAAAACACGATCAGGTATACTAGATGTCAGGCTTCGACATGATTAGATAAACATCAGGATACAGGCCAATGCAATATACCAGACACAAAATTCGTCGTTCAATCTTTCCTTCTTGATTTACAGTAATAAACACCAACGTCACCTCTTCTGCTTGCAAACATCTTGTGCAATGTGAAGCGTTGGTCGCATCTAAACACACCTGATCGATTTGGTTCTCGACGTCGTGTATCTCGTTTTCTTTTTCCTTGCGATTCATGAACAGTTTCTCAACAAGAAGTGCTTCCTTTCCGTTTCTAAGAAGGTAGACAGATGGGTGTGTTAGTAGTAAACAATCGCTCAATGTCATCTATGACGAACGCTCGGTCATTCTATACCACGGCCATTCGACGACTGAGGCTGGCTTTCATATTCAGGAGTTCGTGTTCAGACAGTGCGAACGGGTGTCGGCATTACAATTTAAGATAAGATTCATGATTCCAAGAACGCCGAAAGGAAAATCTCTGTCCATGAACATTTAACAGGCCGGGGAGCTCGTCCAAGCTCGAAGTGTCTTTGAACACAAAACGTCAGCGTTGTTGTCTTAAACCTCTTGGAATGTCTGACTACAGCGAGGCAGACCCCGGCCAGCACAGTAATATTCTCCTTGTCGACCCTCTTCAGCCACAGGCGTCTTCTGCTCGCTCTCACATCACGCCCAGTTCTCCGGGGCTTGGCCTGGAGAGCCGGCCGCCGCGCACTCACCTGTGCCTCAGCTCCTCAAACTCCCCGTCCACTACCGAGCGGTCAGAGTCCATGTTCATCAGCTCCACCAGCACGTTGTAGTCAGCCAGCTCTGCCTGATGCTCTGCGCGACAGGGAACCGACCGGATTACGTCACTGGTGCTGCTCCTCGCCCTCGCCCCCCTCCGCTGACACGGCTGGGCGGGCGTCACGGACGTTACGGATCTCCTTCAAACATGGAACGGCAACTGTGCAGTCTGCCCGACCGGCCTGGAGGCTATCAAAAAGCTCGACAGCGCTCAAGCGGAATCCAAGAACTAAGTCCGGACAGTCCCGACGCTATGTAAAACTTGGCAGCACTCAAAGCGCGCCCTACTCAACGCACCTAGCGATGGCTGGCACGGCCACTGTGGGCCGGTCACTTGACTCGCCAGTCTGTTGGCCCGCGGTAACGGCCCCACCCTGCCCACCATACCCACCGAGCAGCTCGCCGGCCATCTCTTTGACGCGCGTGTCGTAGGTGGTGTAGGTGGCCTGCTCCTGGTTCAGCGAGTCCGCCTGGCGCCGCAGCTTGGCCACCTCGGAGCGCAGTTCGGACGTCTTGGTGCGCAGCAGGCCCTACCGCCGGCACACGCGAGCACCGGTGACGTCACACCGCCGACGCAGCGCGTCATACACGACAATCTTTTGTCAGCTCCACCAATCCACTGTTCTCGGCCGGCTCGGCCCGGACCCTGCGGGACGGCCACCACGGCAGGCCCGGCCGCCGGCACATGCTGGCGTCGCATGTCACAATGACGTCACATCTCATCACGTCACTTCACGGCGGATGGTGCCACTGCCATCCCAGCGAGACCCGGCACCAAGACGCCACGTGTGCCGGTGGACTACTACGTGAGCCAAATTTCCGCGCTCCATGGATTCCCGTCACCCTCAACTCTCAGGTCAATGAATCGAAAGTAAGACATTAAAGTTGGAATCGACGCTAAGGATATGACGTTGCATGACGAAACATTCTGTCTCTGCGACTTGTTTTATGGCCTTGTTGTACTGTAATTACCACTCCATTCTACAGAAGTGTCGACCACGGGTATTTCATCGACTACTTCACCCAAACGGAACCAATGAACACGCCGGGCTAACCTCAAGAGACCAATCATGATATGCCACTCAAACGATTTGGCAAGAAGGTACGTACGGAACGGTTGATCAATAAGATACATACAGCATGGTGACATTACCATTTAGAAACATGGTATTACTTCCTCCTTTATTTCGCGTGCAGGTCCGCTATTTCCATCCCACAAGCTATCAATCCATCGCTGAATGATTAACAAAATTTTCAACTGGATGTGCGCGTGGATCCCTCAAAACATATGCAGTGACTCAGGATCCAGATCCTGTCAATGGAGGACCATATGGGCCCGGAATCCAGTCTTGTAATGCACGTTCACGTCAGCGCTCCGAAGCACCACCCGGGCACCCCCTCTCCGCTCTCCTCCCCTCACCATGAAGTAGCTCTTGTCCTGCACCATGCGCGAGCGGCCGCTGCCGGCCGTCTTGATGCCGGAGAGACCCTGCTGGGTGATGGGCCGGCTCATCACCCGGATCTTCTCCATGGAGCCGGTGACGGGGCGGCCCGAGCCCATGCGCGACATGGAGGCGCGTGACGCCGGCGCCTGCGTGGCCGGCCGGAACCCGGTGCCGGGCGGGCCGCCCACGGCGCCTGAGAACGGGCGGCCAGAGGTGCCCGGGCGGCCGTCCTGGCCGTCGCCGGGCAGGCCGTCACGGCTGGGTGGAGGCTGCACAGATGCGACGCTCAGACAGGTCGCAAACGGTCTCCTAAAGGAGGCAAAAGGCTGCGCGCCTGAACTTAAATACATCGCTGAATGCCAAACGCTTGCATTTTGCATGCGCTTCATTTATGTTGCGAGTCAACCAGTGCATACTTGGACAGTTTTTACTCGGTGAGTTATCTCACAAAAGGCGGAGATACGACCGCGGGCTCTGGCCGAAGCTCCGTTCATCACTCACCGAGTACTCCCTCGCACGCTCACCGGCACTCTGGCCGAGGCCGTGGCGTCACTCACCCACTGTGCGTTCTCGCTGAAGGACCGGCTGTCCTGGCCCAGCGCGCCGGACACTGGCCGAGACACGCCCGTCATGGGCCGCGAGGCGCCGGCCGACATGCTCTGGAACGAGACGGGCATGGCTGCAGCGCCGGCGGACCCTCTCCCCACCGCGGCCGGCGGCTCTGCTCCGCCGGCCGGCGCGCACCTGGTCGCGCCCACGCCGCCGCCGCACTGCCACGGCTACCGCCCACAACACGGCCGACGTGTCCCGGCGGCGCCGTCTCGCCCACATACCACGGACGTTGCGACGATACATGCAAACGCGCGATTCGATCAGCGGTCCGCCGCGTGACACAAACAGCATGAAAAAACTAAACTTAGTGTCTTTCACGGCGACTCGAAGTACAAATGTGGAACCGATGGGAAAACATGTTTTCGGCCGCATTTGCTGTATGCATACGCGGTGCAAGCACCTAATAGGTGGTAGTGAGGTCGCTCAGCCATAATAGCTTTCTATAATGTACGCATACGCGTCCTGATTTACCAGAACGACGTTCACTTGCAGCAAAAAACATGAACGTTTTGGCTAGCGTAGACAGATAAGTCGGCGTAGCATGTGGTTGTTCTTTTGTATCTACACACACATTAAATTGCCACAAACACACTACTAGCGATATTCGACGTGTTGCCCGAAGTCACAGTGAGATATCAAACGCATCGTGATGAACTGTATATACCTGCATGTACACTTGTAAACAAGCTAGATGTCGAAAATCATTCGGGCAACTGTGCAGCTTTTCAGCTTTTCTCTCGAGTCAGCGTTCTAAGAGTACCTAAATTATCGGCACGGACCTACGACGAACTGACTCTCTGGAAGCGATGAACCACGACAACGAACTGACTCTCTGGAATCCATGTGAACTATCAACCGTGTTCCGGCTTCCTCGCCGCAGTTGCGAGAGATTGAAACGTCGTGCACGGCACTCAGAACACCCCTCAGTCGACCGTGGCCCGCCTGACCCGACCCGACCTGACCTGGAGTCCGGAGGGCGGCCTGGAGAGGCCGGTCATGGGCCGCGAGCCGCCCAGAGACCTGCTCTCGCCGACGCCGGTGGCGGGTCGGCTGCGCGCCGCGCCCGTCTGTGGCCGGTCCAGGTCCGAGGCCGGCCGCACGGCTGAGGTGGACGGCCGGCCCGACGGGGCGTCCACGCCGGCGACGAAACCCGACGCCGGTCTGGCGGACGCAGCCGCCGCCCGGTCAGCATTTATGTTGCATTTGGTGTTAGCTGACATTCCACATACATACGTGTCATACGTGTCCACATACGTGTCATTAGTCTGACAGACAAAACGGTATGTCAAGAAACAATGGAAAGTGATAAGGGATAATGAACGCACAAATGTATGCGCGCATAAGCAGAATGAGACTTCCTTATCGCACAAAAAGGACCTGGCAGCGCGCTTAAAACGTACTGAGTTCAGTTGTCGAACATCCACAGGCAACTCATTAATGAGAGACGTCGCTCGGCGTGCAAATGGCCGCCGTCCTGCCGCCGTGCGCACCGTCGGGGGGGGGGGGGGGCGCAGGTTATGGTCCACGCGAGTAGTTCGGTCACGAGCCCGCGCTCAGCATATGTTTGAAGCAAACAGGCGAGAGCCTCGGGTCCACCTCGCTCACGGGCTTTGTGTGCAGTGATAACAGCTGATAACAGCCAGCGGATCGTGGGTGGAGAGCGTCTGGTGACTGTATGTGTGTCGGCGCAGGCGCACCCTCTGAGGCCTGCAGGCACGATGTGCATTGGGACACTATTAAACACAGTCTTTCTAGCATTGGTGCTTGCGTATGCGTGCGTGCTGGTAAGCGCGGCCATGCGGCTTGCAGCCCCACTCCCCGCAATCTTACCAACATTTCGGGTGCATGGTGGTTCCATAGTTTTCATGAGATCAGGTGCGATGAGCATGGCTGCTTTGAGGGAAATCTGTGATGCTTCGCAAGATTGCGCAGTTTGAGCCACGTTTAAGTATTGTGCAGGGGATTGTGATGAGCAACATGTGACTGTTTGGGTGAACATGTGTTGACCGGCATGTACAATGTACGGATTTTGGCTCTGTGCCTCACAAATGTCACCATCGAATGCCACCATGCCTCCATCGAACGTAAATTGACAATTCAGAACAAACAGCCTCGCTTCGGTAAACCATCACCCAAGGCTGCTGGACTGATGGCAGTGATACCTGTCCATGAAACAAAATTTTGTAGTATGCAATACTTTTATGCTTCCGACAGCTATGATGTTTCCGAGTCACAATAGCTACACGCATAACACTGTTCCGATAAGGTGTAGATACCGTTTCGAATGAAGCAATGCTGGCTGATTTTGGTAAAACAGAGCGCACAACAGCAGTAAACAGTGATCAAATATTATTTAAGCAATATCTATAAAAAGGCAGTGACTTATTCAGCCTTTCAAATGCAATTCCTGCAAGAAAGAGCAGCACTGCGTGATGCGTAATTGGGTGAGAAGCACCGTTCGAGTTTGGAGTATGCCACGGTCAGCGCCTTTGATATAGTTTTGTATTTAAGTTGTTGAGGGAAATTGCTTTTGTCAATTCTATGCGGCTGATCTGTGCTCGTTTCAGTCTGAACCAACCTAGGGTTATCCAACTTTAAGACGCCTTGGTCGAAACTCGGGCAGATCACCACAGCACGTGTCTCGACGCCAGACCCGGCCACCGCCTCATTGGGTGATCATCTGCACGCGCCGATGGCGTGCGCTGGTTGAACCGAAATTTAATGCAACTTTTCTCGAAAACGGTGTTGGCTAATACACATCTTAGGTGGTGTTCGGCCAGTGGCGTTTTACGCAATAAATTCAGGCTTAGATTCACGTGAGCAGTACTGCTGAACAAAGTCCCAACCGAGGGAGCTCGATGACCTACCCCCTTACGAATAAGCAACAACGAAAAGTAGCATTTTTACTCCGCTTACTTACATCGTGGCAAGCACTGGCCCGATGCCTCATTTCTCTCGCTGGTAATGTTTTATCTTAGGCATTCATTCTTCAGCATCTTTGGGCCGAACGCAAGCAAATGGTGTTTAGAAAGATGCGCTGGTGCCGCGTCGCACTGGAATGTGGCTACTGCATATGTTGCGACCACGCGCGGAAAATAGTTGGAGTACGTTAGGTTTATAAAAATGCGTCGTTATTCAAAGTGTCTCCAGCCCCTATGCATTGTCAGTATCATCTATCAGCTATGCACAATCACAACTACCAGCTATGTACCAAAACAAGGCAAAAAACAGGTAGGGATATCATGTAGGCAAGCTTCAAGGTCACATCCCTCTCAAAACAGAGAAGAAAAACGACACCAATTGAGCAGCAAGAAAATTCCACCAGTTTTTTGGTGTCTTGAATGGGAGCGGGCTCCCTTGAAAAATTAAGTACATAACGTCATGTGGAAAATTTGTGGGGAGGGGTAGGTGGATCAGCGGTACAGCAATTTGCTGCTACACCCTTACAACATCCAAGCTGCCCCCTCCCCCCTCCCCAATCCGTTGACCGAATATCAAACCTGTCACAACGGCATGCGCCCGAAAGTCCGGAGCCAAGTCTCCGGAGACTTTCCTGGCCGGCTACCGCACACCAAATCTGAAGGCTCCGGCCCACACTGGCACTGACGAATGGCACGTCACGTGATCAGGTTAGCCGGCTCATGCCTCCGCTTGACGGCACGAGGCGAGCTGCACACGCTGGCCATGCGCTGCCGAGGCCGCTGCAGCACGGCGGTGAATGCAATAAAAGGCACCCACTCGCTCCGCTGAGGCCACAACAAGCTCCAAAGCATTACACCCACATCGCCCTCGTTACCTCGATTGTTTTTTTCCTGGCATGAACCCAATTTGCAAAGCGAATGGGCAAAAAAGGCGCTCTGTGTGCGTGTCACACAGAGTGCTCCGCAGCCGCCGTGGGTGGACCGCACGGCTAGGAACGTCTGCGGCGCCGCGTCCCGTGCGCCGCGCTCACCTGGATCCGCCGGCCGTCTTGGGCCGGTCGTACATGCCGGAGGCGGGCCGGGAGCCGGCCATGGCGGCGCGGTCCACCAGCGGCTCCTCCCACTGCTCGGCCTCCGGGTCACGCCAGGGCGACTCCGGCTGGCTGGTGCCCGGCCGCCCCGCCATCGTCATCGGACGCGACGCCGACACAGTCGTCAACGGCCGGTCCTGCACGGCCGCCGGCGCGACGGTGTTGTGAGAGGAGGCCGCGGTCGCCATGGCGGCCGGGGCGTCGTCCGAGTCCCGCGGTCGCCATGGCAACGGTGCATCGGATAACACTGTCATTACCGGGGTCATGAGATCCGTTGATCGACCTAGTTTGATCACGAAGGGGAGCCAGCGACAATGTATGTACGCCCCCGGAGCCAGCAATCATACGCTGTTAGTTAAATCGCTGTGTGGTTTCTGCGGGTATCTCACGATGCCGACGCACCCATTCCCACCTCAGCACCACTGCCACCCTGCCGTCTTCAAGCGGAGACATCAGCGTGCCTTGCGGGAGGGGCGCCCTCGGACTCCATCGCACGCGGACGACCTGTCCGCTGTCCCGAGGCTCTCCTCCCCACGCGCGACATCCAGGGCCGGCCGGCCGCAAGAGGGGACCGACCGCGCGCGGGGTCGTGGCCCAGTCTCCGCAGCTCCATTGGACAGCTATGCTGTCCACTGTCCGGTCCTTATCGGCACTCCCAGCGGAGGGACGGCGGCCGCGGCGGCCGCAGCGGCGTCGGCGGCGCGGGCAACAGTCGACCGCGCGTGTCGGCGCGATCACCGAGGCCCGAGAGCGGTGGTTCGAAGAAGAGCAGCCTGGGACGACTGTCAGTACGCGTGCGGTTTGCACTACGTTTCCTACTGCAGCGCGGATGCAGTTTGGGGTAAATTTCGGCTGTCACGGCCGCCGGGTCGGAGCGTCCCTCACTGTCCAGTTAGGTTATGTCACAAGGCTGTCATTTTGGAGCCAGCACGCGGGGTGAGGTTGCAGGGCCCACTCGCCCACCCAGATCCATGTGAGCCAGGCATGGATCTGGATGGGCAGATTCAGGCGGTAGTCAGAGTTGGCCGGGGGGGGGGAGACTGTGGTGGATGACTGTGGTGGATGACTGTGGTGGATCCGGAGACTGTGGTGGATGAGTGGTGCACATCAGTTGCAAATAATCAGTGCAGAAGCTATCAACCGTCTTTGGTGGCCAGAGCCACGATTTTGAATTGCCGTAACAATTACAAAAACTAGACAACCGTACATGTGCTGCACCACGGGCGGCAGCAGCCTTGACACCATTCAACCAATTAAGTGGCACAAGTACAATGGCACCCATTTTCGACATGTATCCACACCATACACATGCATCCACACCAGAACAAAAACGTGGCTTCTATGCTTTGATATCAAGTCTCATCGTGTTGAAGGAAGAATAATGTTGCTCTATCAACACTCTGACACCGGAGTTGGGGCAACACGGTGGTGCGGTGAGCGAAGCCACCAACAGTCCCACTCGTCGATGCGCCGCCCCGTTGAAGCGGTCGAGACCCACCTGCTGTGCAGGGAAGTCCTCGTCATCCATGGGAAACCGCTGACCGGTCATGGGCCTGTTCTGCCCGTACACCGGATACCCGGATACGGGACGGCTCCCACCGACTCCAGTCATCGGTCGATCCACGGGAGATCCAGGATATCCGGAAACCGGTCTCGTGCCTCCACCAGCCCCACTCATTGTTTGATCTTCTGGGGACCCAGGGTATCCGGATACAGGACCACCAACTCCAGTCATTGGTCGATCCGTGGGCGATCCAGGATACCCGGACACGGGTCGATTTCCACCAGCTCCAGTCATTGGTCGATCCGCAGGCGATCCAGGATATCCGGATATAGGTCGATTGCCTCCAGCTCCAGTCATCGGTCGATCCGCAGGGGATCCGGGATATCCAGATACAGGTCGACTTCCGGCAACCCCGGTCATTGGCCTGTCCATCGGAGAACCCGGATATCCGGGGATCGGTCGTGCTCCCCCGCCAACTCCAGTCATCGGCCGATCCATGGGAGATCCAGGATATCCAGACACGGGGCGACTTCCACCGACTCCAGTCATTGGTCGGTCCATCGGGGATCCAGGATATCCAGCAGCGGGACTTCCCTCTCCGCCAACGCCGGTCATCGGGCGATCCATAGGAGATCCGGGATATCCGGATACGGGTCGATTTCCGCCGGCTCCAGTCATTGGTCGGTCCATGGGAGATCCGGGATATCCAGACACGGGACGACTTCCACCGACTCCAGTCATTGGTCGGTCCATGGGAGATCCGGGATATCCAGACACGGGACGGCTTCCACCGACTCCAGTCATTGGTCGGTCCGTCGGAGATCCAGGATATCCGGTAGCAGGACCTCCCTCTCCGCCAACGCCGGTCATCGGGCGATCCATAGGAGATCCGGGATATCCGGATACGGGTCGATTTCCACCGGCTCCAGTCATGGGCCGGTCCATCGGAGACCCTGGATAGCCGGAAACTGGTCGACTTCCAGCAACTCCAGTTGTTGGTCGATCCGAAAATCCTTCCATCCCTTCAAAGTGACCTAAAAACGTGCAAAAACTTGATGATGGCAAATGTGCCGCACCGAAGTAGCACGACAGCCAGTATCGCACCAGGATGAAGTGGAGAAGTCAGCTAAAATGATAATGAGATGTGGCTTTTGTACGTCTCGTGCAACTGCCCCGGTTACCCTCATGCTTAGTTTCATATCCTGTTACACTGACCGTAAGGCTCGAAACGAGCATTATCCCTGTCGTCATCGTCTATCGCCCGTAGACCCAGTCAAAATGGATGATAAATGCGGGATAAGACGGCCATCTCATCATACTTAGAACCCAGATGCTCCTCTGCCCGGGAAGGACAAGAAAGATCGCAGGGAAATCAGTCAATAGCAGTTCTGCAATGCTTATTACGACCTTTTTAACCCGCATCAAGTCGTTGTGCGCAACAGAACATCAATGAAAATGTGAATCCACCCTCCGCGTCAGCTGCCGATAAATGCCCACAGGCGCCGTGAAATCCTCGCGCTGCCTCCCGCGCACTGCGTGCATGTGTCGCTTCCCGGCCGACCCCACGCCGCACGCCCGAGACAGCCGCGACCGACAGCCTTCCCGCCAGCGTCCGTGACTGGACTCTGAAGTATTTGCATGTCGTCGGGCTGAAATGGTGTCCCCCTTATTGCAGCACGTGCTAGTGAAATGCCAGCGATAGAGACTGTTGAGGCTGCCGATGAACCGAGCACTTGGCCAAGAAAGCCGGGAAGTGTCTCGATGTGAGCAAGAAGGGCCTCAAGCCCCTCGTCTAGCAGCATGTGACTTTGGACTTGTCATACTGACGAAAATCGACCCGGTGTATGCCAGGGGTGCTGGTCAAACGACGTGATCAGGCAAACATTGGATATGTTGTGAAAGCTCGACGCCTTAAGCCGGCGGGTCACGGTCACGGTCACGGTCACGGTCACGGTAACGGTAACGGTAACGGTCACGGTCACGGTCACGAGTGTGATTCGTGACCGTGAGCACGACTTGAAACGGCAAGTCGTGACCACATGGCCATGTATGTCTGAATACGTTGTTTAACCAGTACCCCCGGCATACTGCAAACCGATCGCTGTCGGCATGAGAAAATTTAAAACTCATGGAGCTGTAATACAATGTTCTCTCCTTGACAATCCTGACACGGCTGCGGCGGCAAACCGACGGCCGTCCCCGCGCTCACTGTAGCTAGATGTTGACTCACAGACCAGCCCCCGGCATACCTGTGGGAGGTCGGGACTGTGACGTCATGGGCCGGTCCGGGTCGTACGCCTGAAATCCGGACACGGGCCTTCCGGCGGCGCCGGTGCCGGGTCGGCTGAAGCCGGACATGCTGCCACCTGCCGGCAGTTCGCCGCATTCCAGTGCCTGATAAACAGTAGCTCACAGCTACCCTCAAGCGTGTCATGTAATAACGAACAGATCTGCATCGTGTGCTCGGGTTTTAACTCGAAACGGGCATGCTTTGGTAGCAGGGGTGCTACAGGACGGATCGCCCGGCGCCTTACATCCCCATCTCTTGGAATGTAAGGGGACGAGGCTCGTTCACAGCGGTGGTCTATAGCAGTAATCCCGCCTGTGATGTTATCCGGTTTCGCAATGCACGCATTTCGAATTTGTAGCCTATGGCGATTATGTGCTGCGCTATTGCGAGAGTATTTTCAACAGCATCCAATCCACTTTTGCTTCCATGCTCACTGAAATCCTTCAGAAGTGCGCAAGAGAGCGATATGAACAGCAGGCAATGTATGCACACGCGAGTACGGTAGATGTAAACGCTTCCAAAGCAAATTCAGACAGGTGATAGAGAGCATGCACACATCAGAACAATGTTTCCTACGGCAAATGTAGCTTGCAACTGAAGGAATACACACACATACACACGCGCGTACTGGTCAGGACGACTAGCATTCCAGACACAGGGTGTTTTGTCCCCCGCATCTACGCCTTACCAGCAGCACACACTGACATACATTCTGGGCCTACTTCACCGGCACTCACTCCGAATTTCAGAACTGGCAGCCTTACACAAGTCTTACCGTTTTCAGCGCCCTTTCCAGGTGACAACACTGTAACTGGAATGCAGTCAGGGCTCAGGGTATGTTGTGTTCCGTCACCATGGCAACGCCGAGCGCCCCCGCCCCCCCTCGCGCGCCAGCCGGCCCGGTCGAAGCGCGCGGAGCCTATCGCGAAGTGGCGCCGACCGGGCCACGTTCGGAGAAAGCCGGCCACAGGTGCGCCAAGCGAACTTATCCAGATCAGCTGCTATTTCGAAGGGCTGTGCGCCTCCAGTTGACGCCAGATGGGGCCTCCGAGCCCCGAATCGGGGGCGGGTCGGGCGGGTAGATCGGAGGTGTGGTGTTTGGGAGTCCCGTCCGGTGCGACGCCACGCCCGCACCCGCCGCCACTCAGGTCGATGTTCATCGCGTTACACATAGATTTATTGATTGCTCCCTCATCAGGCGTTCGCTACTAACTGGGAGTTACATGCTAGTTACATTATATCTTCCCGCTGTCGTACCTTGTGTATTTGCTGGATAAACCACAGGGTAGGCGTCTCACCGTTGCAGTGCTCCAAATAGCATCACTTCAGCGCCAGAGGCCGAACCGTGTCGAACCTCACGTCGCTGTTTATCGTTGATCACTTCTAGCGGTCACTTTTCGTGCGCACATCGCCGGCCAACACCACAGAAAACGAACGCTGGAGAAAGTACACATTTATATTGACGACTGTATGTACACGCTTCAACAATGAATATGAAGCCGAAGAAATGACGCACCCGCATCGATGGAGCGCGAGTACTAGAGCACCAGCGCTCCACTTGCACAAGCGATCTAATCCAAACGTGAACAGAGCAGCCAAATGAAGATGAATGGCTGAGATGGTTGCGAATTGAGAAGCCTAATACCTCGGTCCAATGTACGATGCACGATGTCACTGAATAAAAAATAAAAGAATGCAATCAGTCCATACAGCCAATCCAGCCAACACAACCACTGCGACAGACAAGCGGTTGAATAGCAACTTCCATAACATGGCACGTTCACACGCTTCTCCGGCCGGCGGAACGTGCCACGATCGTCCCGGGCAGCGGTCCGAACAGCGCCGCTGGCGGGAGGGAGCGTCCCTGCCGCGGCGCCGATGTCACGACAGCGTCCCACCGGGGGTCAGGCCCGGACGCCTCGCCGCGTCGGCGCAGCACGGCGTCCTCCGACGTTAAGCGCGGCCCACAGCTGGGGCAGCGCGCCGCGGCTCGCCGCCGCCCTGCGGCACCGCGCTGGGGAGTGAGATCGCCGGGCGCTGGCCGGCCCGGCCGCACCGGCCACCGCCGCGTATGTACAAGAGCCACCGCCGCCGCCGGCCGCCGGCCTGATCGGACCAGCTGGCCGGCACTCGTCACAGACGGGCGGCGCGCCGGCACGACTCCAGAGGCGCTTCAGCGACTCCGGTGGGACTCCAGTGGGACTCTAGTGGGACTCCAGAGGCGCTCCAGCGGGCTCCAGTGCGACTCGGCCGGCGGCTCGGACGGCGTTCCAAGCGCTGGAGCTCCAGCCGCGTTTCCGTGCGTCTCTGCGGCTGCTCCGGCCGGAGCATTGGCGACGGTCGGCGTCACCGCTGCCGGGCCGGCGCCGGCTCAGGCAGGCCGGCCGGCAGCGCCCGACAGCGTGAACACCTCGTAGTCGGCCACGTTGAAGCTGTAGTCGCCGAAGAGCACGGCTGACGAGGCGCCGTCGCCGTCGTACGAGTGCGGCAGGTTGGAGTAGCTCTCGCCGGACGTGTTGGAGCGGTCTGAGATGTACAGGTCGGCTCCGGCGCCGAAGATCGGCCCGCACCTGTCGGCCCGGACGGGTCAGTGGGGTCCGCGAGGTCAACGGGAGTAAGCACGGTTAGTCGGGGTCACCGGGGTCAGTCGGGGTCAGCTGAGGGCGAAAGCCTCACCGGCCGTCAACGCAGCCGACCGCAGTGACATAGGTTTGCTCCAGCTGCAGACTGAGTTCTAGGGATACTGAGAACTGTATCCTTAATTACTATCCTGTAACTAAGGATGCAGTTCTTTCATTGGCGCATGTAAGGATAGGACTGTACGAACAGAATCCACCGTGGCGGATAAAGCCATAATAAGACTGGCTAGAAAAGCGACACCTTTCGCCTGTACAGAGCACACAAACGCAGTACCCTCGGCTGCAATCCAAAACGGACCTCCACAACGCACTAAAACACACCATATCAAAGCCACACGCGTCAAAACAGTGCATTACAGGTGCCGGAGTCCCGCCGAGCGGCCTTTGAACAACACATCAGCGGGGTGGCGGACACCGGCGCGCGCGGCCAGCTCCCCGCAGCCCCGGCACTCACTGAGGGTGGTAGCAGACGGCGTACATGCGCTTCTTCACGGGAAACCGGGTGGGCAGTACGCCCTGGTTGTTGACGAGCGTGAAGAGGAAGGCCTCGTCCGAGTGGATGAAGCGGCCCTTGTTGCCGCTGTTGACCCAGGGCACGTCGCTGAAGCCGCCACACAGCTGGCCCTGCTCGCCCTGCCGGCGTCAGACGAGGACACCCGTCAGTCGCGGGTTCGAATCCCGGTCACGGATCAACGGACTCGATCCTGATCATGGACACCCCGGCCCCGACCCAACCGGGTTCCGACACAACGGACGATCCTCTGGTGCGACACATCTCGTCCGGAAATCCCCGTGCGCCGCGACATCCTCAGAGCACAACAGCGCCTCTTCCTGCCTGAGTACCGACTGACCCCTTCCCAAGTGTCTGCCGCCGCCGCAGCACGCTCTCGACCCAGCCGTCCGCACGTCCCCGACCTGGCGATGGCGCCCCCGCCAGCCGCCCGTCTGCACGCTCTTCACCCGGCGATGGCGTCCCTCGCCGGCTATTACGGCCGGCGGCGGCCGTCTAGCGACGGGAGGCGGCCTGGACAGACGCAGGCCGACCCTTCGCTCCGGGCCGTAAACCCGCCGGCGCCGGGCCAGCGTCGCAGATATCGACACAGGAGGTCACCCGGCGGGGTCACCAGCGTCCGATCGCACGAGAGCCGCGAGTACGGCCTCCTTGGAACGGCCTACGCCGCGGCGGGGCGTGCGATAGGGCGTGGTCAGCCGCACAGGCGGTGAACTCTGCTCGGTCAGATGGCCGTCAGATACTTCAGCAAAAGTTTCAGATGTTTGAGCGCCGACAAAAGGCTGACATCTTTCGGCTGCTGATGTTAGCTCGACGGCTCCATAGGCAGGCAGCTGACACCCATCAGCAAACCGGATGACACCCCATCAGTAGGCCGGCTGACACCCCATCGGCGGGCAGGCTGCCATCCCATCAGCAGGTCGGTTGACACTACATCAGCAGGTCGGTTGGCACCACATTAGCAGGTCGGCTGACACCACAACAGCAGGCCGGCTGACACACCATCAGCAGGCCGGCTGACACCCCATCAGCAGGCAGGCTGCCATCCCATCAGCAGGTCGGTTGACACTACATCAGCAGGTCCGTTGGTATCACATTAGCGGGTCGACTGACACGACATCGGCAGGCCGGCTGACACCCCATCAGCAGGCCGGCTGACATCCCATCAGCAGACCGCTTGAAACCTGGCTGCTGATGTCAACAGCCGTCAGCCCGTGCCCGTCCAGGTCATCAGGAGCCTCACTTGGACGGACTTGGACGGCGGCAGCCGGCCTTCGTTGCGGTCATTAGTCGGCCGCCGCGGTCCGATCGAGCGCCTCCCCCCCCCCCCTTCCCCTGCCCGATCAGCCCCGTCTCGAGCGGCGACCCGTCAACAACGCGAACGGTTACGGCCGCGGCGGCCGGACGGCACCGCAGGGGAGACAGAGCCACGGCAGTCGCAGTGAGAGCGCAGAGATGAAGACAGCGGCCGCCAACTGCCCGCACGTCGGTGGCTCGCCACTGAGTCTCACGCGGGCGGACCGCGACTGATTCCGGGCGGGCCGGGCGGCTGGGTCACCGCGGTCGGTGGACGCCAATAGCTGCCAAATAAGCAGGAAGCAACACATGGTTTGTAGACTTGCCGTCTACAAACGCGCAGGCAAACAAAACACATCTGTCTGATATCCCAGCGCCTAAAACCCAAAGCGCCATGTTCGACTACTCAGGTGTCAGGTCGGGAGGCTGACCGCATCACGTGCAAAAACGGTGCACGCGTGTCACCGGCGCGCGCGCGTGTGCCTTGCCACACAGCCCGGTGAAGGCATCAGCTCCGCACCAGCCCGGCGCGTGTCACCAGCGCGCGCGTGCGCCTTACCACACAGCCCGGTGAAGGCATCAGCTCCGCACCAGCCCGGCGCGTGTCACCAGCGCGCGCGTGCGCCTTACCACACAGCCCAGGGAGGGCATCAGCTCCGCACCAGCCCGGCGCGTGTCACCAGCGCGCGCGTGCGCCTTACCACACAGCCCGGTGAAGGCATCAGCTCCGCACCAGCCCGGCGCGTGTCACCAGCGCGCGCGTGCGCCTTACCACACAGCCCAGGGAGGGCATCAGCTCCGCACCAGCCCGGCGCCTGTCACCGGCGCGGCCGTGCCTCCCCGGACGCTGCAGGCATCAGCTGCTCAAACACGGCGCGCGTCCGCCGCCGGCGCGTGCTTCGCTGGACACTGACGGCATCATTCCCCCATACACACACACAGGCGGGGCGCGGGATCCTCACCAGGCAGATGGTGAAGGTGGGTGCCAGGCCGTCGCAGAGCCGGTGGAAGGCGTGCGCGCTGTGCTCGTGCGCCGAGGCGCGGAACGCCAGCCGCCAGCGCTGGCGCGGCTCGCCGTACCACTGGCTGAGCAGCTGCTGCAGCCGGCCGCCGGCGGCGCCCACCAGCAGCTGCGAGCCGGCGAACAGCTGGCGCGTGACGCGCGGCTGCAGACGCTTGTCCTCGTTCATGCGCTCCTGGCGGAACTTGTCGGGCAGCGCGGCGAACCGGTACCGCTCGAGGCTGAGCTCCATCGGCACGGCGCCCGTCGGCTCCACCTCGTCGGCGAACACCTGGCTGTCTGTGGCCGGGCGCGACGCGGAGGCAGGAGGCGCAGTCAACACACAGGGAGAGAGGCGGGACAGGGCTGCACACTGTACGGAACGGGGCGGGGTGGAGATACGACCTGCTTCAACACCAGGTGGGGAGGAGGTGGGACAGAGCTGCACACTGCACGGAACGGGGCAGGGTGGAGACACGATCTAATTCAACACTAGGCGGGGGAGGAGACCGAACAAAGCAGAAGGGGAAATACGAGTGGCCCAGACACCAGGCGGGAGAGGGCGCGGATCGGAGGCGCACACCACACGCAACAGAACAGGGCGAGGCCGTAGATGACTCAGACGACAGGCGGGGGAGGGGCGGATCGGAGGCGCACACCACACGCAACAGAGCAGGGCGAGGCCGTAGATGACTCAGACACCAGGCGCTCACATGGCCACACACGAACATCGCAGACAACGCTGCCGCTCAGACACTCAAACAGACCGAACGCCCAGACACCCGGAGAAACGTAACGCCAGGCAATGGTAATCAGAAAGCAGAGAGCAGCGTCTGGGATATCAAGGACATGCTCGGCGATAGGGTACAGCTACCAAAACCTAGACGCCGGAACCAGGAGCACCAATGTGCGGAGTGCTCCGGACAGCGAGTGACTGACTGTGTACAAGATGCCGATATCATGAGAATCCGTCACAAAAAGCGAAGCTGGACCACCCCAACACGCTATCAGCAAAAGGCAGATGTTTGAGTCTCAGTTATCGTCCATCGGACGAGAAACCCGCTGAAGCCAATCCCCACGGATACTGAGGCCGCTGACGCTCATTATTCGGGTTTACGGGCGCAGCAGCCGCGCGACTATGCGGCGCTCAGGGGATCTAAACGAGCCGGCTGAATTGTCGTCCAGCACGCGCTCACCATCTGGGAAATCCCAACCATTCGCATCCAACAGCGCAGCTGCGGCAACAGTAGTCTAAATCACCGCCGGCAATTGTATTTGATGGACCGCCCCGCCCAGCGCGGCAGCCTCGCCACCCCCGGGGCGACCATTCGCCCGGAGCGGGAGCGAAACGGCTGTTGTAACGGTCCACGTGGCTGGCGGGGCACCTGGCGGGGGTCGTTCGGCGTGACGCACGGGCGCCCAGGACCCGGGGCAAACCCGCCGATAATGGCTCCGAGCCTAATGAGAATACCACAGCCGGCCAGCCGGCGAATCACGGCGAGTTATAACCCAACGAGAGGCGCCATCCCATCATCATATCACGAGCTCGACATAGTTTTGCGCTCATCATAAGCATACTTCGTCGCATGGATAGTTTGCGAATGTCGCATGGGAGCCAGAGCACACCCAAACCTGACCGCTGCTCGATGAGCAGACGCTGGTCTCGTCGCCGACGTCATTCGAACAACGGGGAGATTGTGCTCCAGCCATTTCAGAAATTGGTGCTGATTAATATCCATACGGCAATGCAAACCCACGCCGCAGTGTTGCCCGCGGCAAAAGCTTCCCTTGTCGCCGAAATCAAGCAGCCGTTGACAAGGCGCAACCCACAAAGGAGATACCAGGCACTGCTAACATATCTCACGTTTGAAATATTACGACGTAAGTTGATATCGTTGGTATCACATCTAGTGTAAGCCGATGTTTGGGGCGTGATGACGTTTTTCATGAAGAGCAGCGACTTCAGCACATTACCGGTGTATCAGCCATCAACAAAATCCAGGCGCCGACGTTGGCCCACCCATGCCGCTTTGGCACGCTCCACACATGCCCAGCAGCGTGACGCGCCTCACGTGGCGGTACGAGCGGCCCCGGCGGGCGTGGCTCACCTATGAGCAGCAGCTTGACATGGTTGATGACGCCGGCCATCTGGGCGCACACCCGAGCCTGCTCCTCCTCGCTCCACTGAGCCGTCGGACGGTTCACGTTAGCGCCGTGCTTGGCCCAGGCCAGCACGGCGCGCCACACCAGCTCCTCGTCCAGCGCCAGCTGAGGGGACACGGACCGTCACGGACGCGCTGGTCGCCGGCTGAGACAGCATGGAACGTCACGGACGCGTCGGTAATCTGCTGAGGGGATATGGACCGTCACGGACGCGCCGGTAACCAGCTGAGGGAGCATGGACCGTCACGGACGCGCCGGTCACCGGCTGAGGGAGCACGGACCGTCGTGGACGCGCTGGTAACCAGCTGAGGGATAACGGACTGTCACGGACGCGCCGGTAACCTGCTGCGGGGATATGGACTGTCACAGACGCACCGGTAACCAGCTGAGGGGATACGGACCGTCACGGACACGCCGGTGACCTGCTGAGGAGATACGGACCGTCACGGACACGCCGGTAATCTGCTGAGGGGATACGGACCGTCACGGACGCGCCGGTAATCTGCTGAGGGGACACGGACACGCCGGTCACCGGCTGAGGGAACACGGACCGTCACGGACGCGCCGGTAACAAGCTGAAAGGATACGGACCGTCACGGACACGCCGGTAATCTGCTGAGGGGATACGGACCGTCAAGGACGGGCTTGTCACCGGTTGAGGGGGCACGGACCGTCACGGACGCGCCGGTAACCAGCTGAGGGAGCACGGACCGTCGTGGACGCGCTGGTAACCAGCTGAGGGATAACGGACTGTCACGGACGCGCCGGTAACCTGCTGCGGGGATATGGACTGTCACAGACGCACCGGTAACCAGCTGAGGGGATACGGACCGTCACGGACACGCCGGTGACCTGCTGAGGAGATACGGACCGTCACGGACACGCCGGTAATCTGCTGAGGGGATACGGACCGTCACGGACGCGCCGGTAATCTGCTGAGGGGACACGGACACGCCGGTCACCGGCTGAGGGAACACGGACCGTCACGGACGCGCCGGTAACAAGCTGAAAGGATACGGACCGTCATGGACACGCCGGTAATCTGCTGAGGGGATACGGACCGTCAAGGACGGGCTTGTCACCGGTTGAGGGGGCACGGACCGTCACGGACGCGCCGGTAACCAGCTGAGGGAGCACGGACCGTCACGGACGCGCCGGTAACCAGCTGAGGGAACACGGACCGTCACGGACGCGCTGGTAACCAGCTGAGGGAGCACGGACCGTCACGGACGCGCCGGTAACCAGCTGAGGGGAAATGGACCATCACGGACACGCCGGTAATCTGCTGCGGGAGCACGGACCGTCACGGATACGCCGGTAACCGGCTGAGGGAACACGGACCGTCACGGACAAGCCGGTAACCTACTGACGGGACAAGGACCATCACGGATGTGCCGGTAACCAGCTGCAGGGATACGGACCGTCACGGACGCGCCGGTAACCAGCTGAGGGAAAACGGACCGTCACGGACGCACCGGTAACCAGCTGAGGGAACACGGACCGTCACGGACGCGCTGGTAACCAGCTGAGAGGATAAGGACCGTCACGGATACGCCGGTAATCTGCTGAGGGGATACGGACCGTCACGGACGCGCCGGTAACCTGTTGAGGGGATAAGGACCGTCACGGACGCGCCTGTCATCTGCTGAGGGGGTACAGGCTGTTACGGACGCGCCGGTAACCAGCTGAGGGGATACGGACCGTCACGGACGCGCTGGCAACCTGCCGAGAGGACACGAATCAATCACAAAATAAAACGGCGGTATCAGAAGTCCAAATAAACACACACACGCGCACACGCACACGCACACTCACACGCACACGCACACGCACGCACACACACACACACACACACACACACACACACACACACACACACACACACACACACACACACACACACACACACACACACACACACACACACACACACACACGCACACACACACACACACACAGCAAAGCACTCCTGACGTACACAATAGCTTCGTAACTGTCTGGCAGGCAGGAGACGTCAGCGCAGACCCTCAGACGGCCTCCGACCACGCAGCACGCTAGGTCAGGCTGGGAGGGTATACACAGCGGAAGGCCCGAGTGAGAGAGGGTTGCCTCACCTGCTCCGAGGAGATCAGACGAATCATGGCGTTCCTCGGCAGGTTGAGGAAGGTGGAGGTCTTGAAGCAGTCGCTGGCGCGTTCGCCGATGAACGACAGGCACTTGTTGATGAAGGAGCCGTCCTCGCCGCCTGAAAACGGCCTCAGCTCGGTTACACAAGCCCGCTCCGGAGATATGAGCGAGTGTTCGCGCACGTTACGAGAGTCGGACAACCCCGACACACTGTATGAAGATAATATTATAAAGATCAAGTCACTCAACAAACAGCCCAAGGCTAACACAGCCAAATCGAGAGTACGGAAACAACCATCAGCATATGAAAGCAAGCCGGAGCTGGAAAGACATACCTATTGTGGTGTTGTTAAGTACCTGTTATCACCACGTAACAGCATAGCGTTCAAAGTTAGGGGAGAAATGCCAGGAATACCATGCAAAACAAGCACTAAAGCAGAACATGACGGCCCTGTGTCATCAGATGACAAGCGCTGCAAGCCAGACGTGTGGGTTCAGCCCACGCCTCATGCACCAAATCACCCAGCATTTGTAATCCGAATAATGAAAAAGTCACCTGAATAAGCCCAATTTCCCAAGACCAGTTAGTTCGCCAGTCCAGCCCGCGAGCAGTTTTACCTTGCCGCATGCATTCTCTACAGCGAAATACTGCTACATGCGCCCATTTGTCATCCACAAGCCACGCACAAAGCGGAACATCAGCATTCTCTCGACGCACAGTCGATGAATCTCACGCGCACATGCATCCCAGGCAGCGGAGCCCCATTACCTGACGTCTACCACAGAGGGTTAGTGGCGACTATCCCGTCCACCTGCACCGGGCCCGGGCACCTTCAGCAGGGCGGGCGGGTCAGGTGAGGTCAGAGCGGAGACGGCCCGGTGTCAGCCGCCCGGTCACACCGGGCCAGCGGTCACGCGCCATACGTGTACACCCCACCCCGACGACGGCTGAGGCGGGCGCCCACAACAGCGGAGTACACCGGAGGATCTCCGTACAAAGATCGCCCGTGCACAGTCTGTCGGCTTATAGGGCTGAGTGCAGGCGGCGATAGCTCTCACATGAATATGACGATGGTGTGATTGGATTTTCTGAGCGGGAAATCCTGCTGGCACGGAAAAGCGACTCAACTCTACGCCCCATACGGCTCACAAGTGTCACCCTGACTCCCATTTCGCTGTCCTCCAGTCGCGGCAGCGGCGACCCCTTCCCGGCGTACCAGTCACGTCCTCCAGGCGCACGGCGGCCGCCAGGAACGCGCACGCGTTGCTGACGGACATCTTCGAGGTCACGTGATCTTCGCAGTGGAGCTGCAGCGGCTCCATGCCGAGGGCACGTGACACGGCCAGCAGCTCCAGCGCGGTGTCATCCGTCACGGACACCTGACGGGTCGCGGTCACGTGTTTAACGCACGGGTAACAAGACCTGACGGTCCGCAAAGACCACCGATCACGCCGCGTTGACTTCATGAGCACCTGGCCGCTCTGCACGGGCCACACACTGTTCTGGTGGACAACTTAGGTTCATTGGCGTCCAGAGTCACAGACTACAATTTAGGGCACTGGTTGTGTAATGTAATGGCTAAGCTGTACGTTTGGAAAACCAAAGGTACGGGGTTCCACCTGCACGGTGTCCGCCCATCCTGCCAGGGTGAGGGGCAGGTGACGTCATATGACCTCAGTCGCTGAGTGTGTCGTAAATCCCCAATGAAGTAACTAAAGCTTGCAGCGCCGAGAGTCTCGAAGGCGCCAGCCTTACTGAGTCCCCAGGCATGTCCAGGGACTCTCTCATGAACGCCATGCCACAGACGACCGCATCTCGCGGCAGAGTGGACGAGCGAGGTCGGTGCCACCGCTCCGGTCCGCGCCCCGGTGCGCCGGCCGGCGTCCGACGAGCGTCAGCGACGGACGGCAGTCGCTTACCCTGCCCGTGTAGATGTAGGTGATGAGCTGCTTGAAGACGTCCGGCCGGTAGGCGGGCAACTTGACGACGGTCAGGGACCCCTGCGAGCCAGGCGTCACCGTGCCACCGGCTATCTTGCACACCTCCTTCCGCTCCACGCGCTGGAAGCTGCGGCACCTGCGGCACGTACGTCATCATACGTCGCCATGATGTCATATGTCATACACGTCATTATGTCATGTCATGTCATACAGCACACATGTCGGTATGCATGACATCACGGCATAAGTCTCGATGGCATCGGCGGTCCAGCCCAAGTTTAACCACCATGGAGGGAACCCATGTTTGTATCACTGCGGGCCTTGCCATCACTGGCTTAGCTTTGATAATGTAATATTTTTGTCATTGTTTGGATCAAATAAGGTGGTACACACCACACATAAGATGTGGTGTTCTTCAAATCTTACTATTGAAAAAGCCAACATGGTATAACTAGTGTGACAAAAGCATCACATAGCCCAGTCAATTCATGCATTGACATCTGGCAGCAGCTTCAAACCATCACTGAGAGAGCTGGAGGGACAGGTGGATGTATACTGACCTGGCCTTGAGCATGAGGGAGTGTGCAAACACACGTTCCTCTTGCGGCCCAATCAGGAAAACTATGTCAGCCAAATCTTCATTTTCAATCAGAGCTGCCAGATCTTCAATAAGGCGACCGACGCCCGCCGACAAAAGGTCACTGGCACGGCTCATAGTGCTGCTTTCACTTGGGAGCTATGATGCCTGCTGAGAGGAAAAAAGAAATCAGCTCTCAGCCTGCAACAATGTGTTCATGTGCATACCAAAACACAAGGGAAGACAATAATTATTGTGAAGGAGGGATGCCACTTATAATGCAGCTAGTGCTGTGAAAGTGGCATAAACAGAAAGCAGGCAAGGGAAAAACCAAAGAGAATGTAACTGAGCACAGTTATACCAAGAGCAGGAGGCTTTGCCAAACATTGCACATTCTTGCAAAAACTTTCACTTCCCCATGACCTGAATGAATGTTGCCTGGGTCTAGTATGATGGCAACTGTAAATATACACATTATGCTAGGGTAACTAATGTTTAGCTGCAATTACCCAGTTAACAAACCAGTCACTAACTGGGTAGTTACACATAAACAAGTGTAGTTAGAATGATTCCAAAGCTGCAGGCCTTTGAAACATTCTGTTGGTGTCACAGTGGTGAAAAATATTGGGTGCCACCCCCAGTATCAGATATTGTGTCTACTCAGCACACTTAATGACATTCCTGCACATGGCTTGGGAACATACACAAATCAAAAGTTATATAGTTGATGAACACAAAATTATAAGGTTATTTAAGTGAGTGCAATGAAAAACAGCAATGAATCATCTTATTTGAGTTTTCATATATAGGAGGCATGTATCATAAATAAAGAGCATCAAAAGCAAACTCCCCCATGCTGATACTCTAAAATGTCCAATGCATTCATGTGATGAACTGAAGGGTGTGTGCTGTGATGCTGGAGCATGGAACATAGGTGCTCAAGCATTCAAACATTGGTCCATGGAACCACATCAGCATTACAACAATGTACAAGTTGTTGGAGGCCACCATTCACAGCAGCGAGTGAAATGCAGCAGATCTACCAAAAACAAAAGAGCAGAATCCTTCCCCCACATCATAATGTACTGATTTCAAGACTAATGATTCCACAAGCTTGCTGTGCACTAAGAACACGAGTGCATAACTGCCATCCTAATTTTAAGTAATTTAGAAGAATATCTTGCTTTGCTTCTCATGCTACATCAGACCCACACCACATGAAGCAAGTAATCCATCCTGGCCCAGCCCCAGTCCCAGTCCATGCCAAAACAGACAGCTCAGATTGCTGGTGCTGGGACATCTGTGGTCAACTGGTGGTATCCAGGTGCAAAGAAAGTCACACCATAGACATTTGTCATCTGTACCTGCTCCTTGAACAGCATATGTCCCTCAGACTTCAGCTAAGATATATACTATCTTGGCTACTAGATAGTGGTACTACCTACCATGCGTGCCCGCCCTTCCTGCCAGGGTGAGAGGCAGGCGACGCCATATAGCCTCAGCAGCTGAGTGCGTCGTAAAGCCCCAATCACATACACATACCTACCATGCATTAGGTGTTACTTCACCGGGTTAATGGTCATAATGGCTTGCACGGCATTTCAATTGTCATTGCATTGATGTGCCCAGGGAAATTTGCAACAGGTGCACCACCTTTTGAAAACCCACTTCTATCTGCTGCCTAAATTCAGCAAGTACAGAGAGTGTTAATATAATATACACGGAAATGGTAAAACAAACATTTTAATCACGCTAAGGAAGCAGGGAACTCTTAGAATTTCGAGCCGCTAAATTGGGAATCAAAGTATTCCCTCACCACGCTGATCATAAAAAACACCATGCAACGCATGAGCTTCACATTGGCCCAACTCACCGAACCAACAATAAAGTGGAATAACAACGGCTGAAGGTCCCCACCACAGTCCCACAGTAGGCCTCCCGGTATTTCCGTTTTGTTTTCGTTCCAGTCCAGAAC